GCAAATATATTTCTGAGCTGTATTTGATATATTTCCCTGAATATCGTTGTTACGAAGTGCATAATACGGCTGTGGGTAACAAAAACAACAAATCGAATAAATAATATATATGGGAGCTATAGCTATATCTGAACCGATCTTCACCAAATTTGGCGTACTAGCTTCTAGACTCAATTCGGTCGTATGTGCCAAATTCCATTCCATTTGGACAAATATTAGAGGTTTGGTGCACAATAAAAAGTAAATCGGACGAAGTTATATATGGGAGCTATATCCAAATCTGAACCGATTTCGATAAATTTTCTGAGCTGTATTTGATATATTTCCCAAAATATTGTTGTTACGGATTGCATATTACGGCTGCGGAGGACAAAAATAACAAATCGGATGAAAAATATATATGGGAGCTATAGCTATATCTGAACCGATTTCGATAAAATTTGGAATACTCATTTTCAGGTCCAATCTGATCATACGTGCAAAATTCCATACCATTCGGTCTGATATTTCACGTTTGATGCACAATAAAAGGCAAATCGGACGAAGATATATATGGGAGGTATATATAAATTTTGACCGATTATCTCCAATTTCAATAGGGTTCGTCCTTGGGCCAAACAAATGATTTTTGCAAAATTTAATATGGATAGGACAATAAATGCGAGCTGTACCTTGTTTACAAAAATACATGGACAGACGGACGGACGGACATGCATAAATCGACTCAGAATGTGATTCTATGTATATCATCAAAAGGAACTATGGGTCTATCTCGTTTCCTTTTGACTGTTACAAACAAATGCACAAAGACATAATACCCTGACCACCTTGTGGTGTAGGGTATAAAAAGGTTATGTTTGTTACACAATCCACAAGAATATTGCTTGTCTATTTGTTGTGAAGAAAAAATTGAGGCATGATTTACACTAATTATATAAATTTATTTTAACATTAACATTTTGAGTCAATAAATATGTTACAAATCTAAAATAAAACCACCAATACCAACTGGTTCTGCTGATTGCTGGCAAATTCTTTCAAACTGTTTGAGACCTCATGCACCCCAAATTTGCACTCGACACCCTACCCAACTTAGAACCCTTAAATCTTTTTATAGAGGAACAGGCTGCTAGATGTGCCCTGCGGCTCAATGAACTAGGTCGATGGCGGAGTCAGTCCTTTGGACTGTCTGTCATTCTTAAGTATGTGGGGGGTCGCGGCCAATGCAGCTTTTACAATACCTCACCGACCGTTTGTAGCCCCTCCTTGCTTTACCCTCTTTCGATCCGGAGTCGTCGCGGTTGGTAGAGCACTAGTCCCTCTTTCCACGACGCCTTCCTTGACCCGGAGGTTGGTAGCATCGGTTTGTTCCGATGAAGTCCCTTCTTCGATTATTGGCCTCACCTCGGCACCGGTATGAGTAGCCACTCCAATTTCTTGGACTGGTTCATCTCTCTCAGATGAGGGTATGACAGAGATGTCGAGCTCCTCATCGGAGAGAGGTGAATCATTCCCAAAACCGGATGGTACACTTTCCTGGCTAAGTCTAAGGGTTTTGGTTTTTTCGAGAAGGGCGGACAGCTGTTCGCTCTGTCTTTGTATGCTTTCACATACCACGTCTCTGTACGTCAACAGAGTCTCGTCCCCACCCATATTTGAAATCTTGTCCGTGGCCGCGTTCCGTGTCGATGTCTCCGAAGAGGCAGTTGAATTAAGGTCTGGTTTGTTTTTTGTTTTTGTAAATTATTTCTCCATATAAAAAAGTTGGACGTTGGAGGTGATGAGGTCCACCATGACATAGCCTCCATATCATGGTAAGGACTTGGCAACTAAGCCTAATACTCGTCGAGACGCCCAGGTATCGATGAGGCAACCGTTCAAATACAGTCGCAAACCTTGGAACACTGATGGGAACGGTTTACGTAACACCCCAGTGGTATGGAGTCCGTTGCGTTGGACCAGTCCGTTGACTGGATAGTTTAGAGGCGCCAGTGACTTCGCCTCGTCGAGTCTAGGGATCATAGGCACTCGGGTATTTAGCCCGAGACTCTCCCCCCGGAGACCGCTGAGCTGTCCGCGACTGCTTATTTAATTCGCAGCTGCCAGATATATCTATCGGGCGTCCCACTATTCGCAACCTGTGGACGCGTCCGGTAGCACTCAGCTATGCTTCCGCAAGTGGCGGTAGTTTGAAAGAATTACTGATTTTCAGGCGCTCGCAGAAGGCCCCAGCACTCACTTTCATGAAGGCGTGTTGAACAGTGCTTATCGATGCCGTAGGTTTGGTAGGTCTCTATCTCAAGATCTATTAGTCTTTCTAAAGATTTCAGTAGAAAGGATGAACGACTAATAGGCCTGTAGTCTTTTAGAAGTGAATGATATGGTTTCCTGATTTGGGTATATAAGTGACTGTGACTTCTCTCCACAGTGGTGGAATGTGCGATAGACCCAAACAAACCTTAAAGATCACCTCCAAAATCGGCACTATTACAGTCTACGCATGTTAATAATACCATCCTGTTTTAGTGATTTGAAAGGTTTAAAAGTGTCGATGGGAGATTTTGGAAATGCTTACAAATCGATCTAACAGTCGATTCTCGTCTCTGTGCAATTCGGATAAGGTGTGCTGGCTAAAAGATTAAGAGTCCCTAGACCTGAGTCAGTCCACGTACCATCATCCTGCCTTATACTTCCAATGGATTTAGGATCCTTTTAGAGGACTTTGTAGAACACCCAAAATGGTTGACATTTTTTGAAAGGAAATGTAAGCGGACATTATTTCTCATAGCACTCAAGTATAATTTAAGTATAATTCTTGATATAAAATTTACAGAGTCGTCTACATTTGAGGCTGTTACTATTGGTAGATTACCTGCAGAACTCAGTTTCGATGTAGAATACTGTACAAATTTATCCCAACGAACATTCCTTTGGTTTCAATGTGTTTCAAAATATTCCTGGCCAGCGGTATCGATGGATACTTCAATTAGCAGGCCTCCAACCTACGTACTTCAACTAATGAGTCGCCAATTGTCCGTCCGAAGGTTGGGATTCGGTTTTCCTAATATTGTCAGCACGCGTGCCGGACTTATCGAAGATGATGGCGCCAACGTCGACAGTATTTTCTTGGCAGGGGCTTAAGACTCAGTGAGGGTAGCGTAGGATTCCGTCGATGGTGCTACAATTTAAACTGTCGTTCCATCAGCTGGAATATTGCTGCCCTCCATGGGACCTTCGTCAGAAGGTTTGTCTACGGGAGGATTTGCCTTCTTTCCGAGTTCAGTAAGGAGAGTGATTAGCTCTTCTCAAGTGAACACTTTGGGAGTAGCGGACGTTTTTTCTCGAACTTCTGCACTGCCTGCACGATCGATAAACTTTTTGAAAAACTTCACAGACCGCTTGTACCCTTTCTTCGCGTTTGCCTTCCTTGAGCCGGATTCACCCTAGCTGCTCGGGATACTGATGGGTGTGGTAGCCACCAGATCACCTTCCACGATGGCTTCCGGAGTCCGATATGTGTGTTTCGTTGTGTGTTTGTTGTTTTGTTTCCAAAATTGATCTCCATAAAAAAGTTTGAACTGTTGAAGTGGTGAGGACAGCTATGGTATAGCCTCCATACCATGGTAAGAACTTGGCAACTTAGCCTGCTACTCGCCGAGGCGCCCAGATCTCGACGGGCACTGTTTTGTAAAAAAAACAGAATTTGCTGGTTTATTATTGAATTGTTGTAGCATTTGCTGGATTATTGTTGAATTCCTTTTTTGTATAAAATGTAAATTACCTTAAGTTATTGGTGATTGGGACACAGGCCTTTATGTATGATCTACCGAGAGTAAAAGACAAGTGAAGTTAGATATTCTGATCTTGATCGTGGAGGATTTCTTTGCCAGTTACTAATACATTAACACTAATTTCCATTGGGAGAGTAATCATAGCTACCCAAAATCTACTACCGCCGCCCACAGGCTATCCGCGCTCCACTTTCTCCGCAGAGGAAGGTTGTAGAGGAGATGCCAGTGATGTCAATCAGCATTTGTGATTGAAGTTGATGGGTAAAGTATCTAACTTATATAGGTATCATTGGGAAGCTAAGCAACAAGTTGTCACATAATGGGGTCATTTAAAAAAGGAGTTCGGGAGTTATGATACTTATATTCTCTATGTCAGTTTAGTAGATCCGCGTATATCCCAGGTCTTGAGCTCCGACTTTTGGATCAAATATCTGGGTACTCGAAGAAAAAGTTCTTTCACGGAATCAGGGTACAAATACCTTTGAAAATACCTCAAACAGAAAGCAAAGACTACTCGGTAACATTCGTCTCAAACGCCATTTTTGAAGGAGACGCTTGTCTACAGAGTAGGTCAATTCCAACAGTGTTGTTTTCTATACAGTTGGCTCAAACATGGACGACAGAACAAACGCTGGATTTTACTGTGAGAATAGTCATATAGACAATGACAATTGTAGTGGCTTCCAGCAGACATCTTGCCTAGGCCAAAGTCTGCGGAATTGGCGAAAGAAGAGACGACCCATGCAGTTAGGGCAGTCATGATTTATGTACATTTTACGCATCTAATATACTCGCAAGTGTAGATCTGCATTGATGAATAGTGGAAGTTTTTATTAAGTTTAATTTGGTACCAACTAACTCTGCCGAGTTGAAGAATCACGATTGTATTAAACCACAGCTCTGCTATTCCATTCTTTTTCACGTCGTATTTCTTTTATTTTCATGAAGAACACAATGAACAACCGGTCTCCGAGACATGTTACTCAGTTGATTAAAAAACAACATTTAAAATCGGTGTTTTGCGGCATTTTGGCTTAGCACATGCCAAATCATGTCATATGTTGAAGGAGTTGCTCTTTAAGTCAAAATCTATTTCTTTATTTTGTAGGAAAATATGAAATTATGCCTAGGAAAATATGAAAATGCTGTGATGGGTGTGTCATAAATGTATTAAAAGTAAATTGGGAACAATAATTAAAACAATTGGCATATCTGAATGAAATATCACTTTATTAAATGTGTAAAGAAAAATTATTTTTAAATGTATATTAACAGTTTGAAATGATCATTCATAAAAACTAAGATTAATTCTAAAAAATAAAAAATGAGTATTAATTCATAACGTTTGGCCATAATGCAAATAAATTGGTATGACTTTCTGTGATCTTTATTCAATAAGTATAGACACTATGTGCCTAATGAGACCAATTTAATAATTAAAAAAAAAAATTAGACCAAATGCTTACTATAACTGTAAATATTTCGGAATTGGTTTCAATGGATAAAACAAATGGATAAATCACCAAAACTAGGAGTAAAAATTGTGCCATGTGTCCTTATTGTAATTAAAGATAAAGCGTTACCGATAGTGTCATAATATAAGCGTGTAAATGTATGAAGAAAATGTTCTACATGAATATTTATTTGTTTATAATTTCTATAAAGTTTGAGAATCATAAGATCAATTAATAATATGGTGCATATGTGTATGTTTATCTATGCGACTCCGGATAATTTGTTTTTAATCAAAAAAAGTTCTGTGAATAATACTGGCACCATGTGCCCCACACCCATACACCAAATTGTTAAAATATCTGTTAGCCTTCATTTTTTTTTTTATTGTAAGATTTGATTTGGTTCTGGTTTTATATGCGGCTTCGCGGCGTCGATTACGAGAATATCAGTGAGTAAACTACAAATCAAATGACTTTAATTTGCGATATATACTTGAAAGTTAACATTTTTAAATCTACTTTCAGAAACGTCTAATAAAATCGTTTATCTAACTACAATATAATCGTTAATTTGTCGTATATAGCGAATATGATATTGTTAGTATTCAATATATATTCTAAATAGTTGAGATCACGTGGAATGACTAAGCTGTGTCCTTTATAAACATATTGTTGTCTTTTCGGAGATTACACAAAATCATTCGTTGTAACACAACCTTTAAAAATTGTTTTAAATTCACTATAATTTTTTTCAAGTTTATCAGATTTCATGAAAACGCGGAGTCTAGAGATTATACATGGGATTACTGGTAGCATCGAATAATTGTTTTCCAGTTGACTCGATCATGGAACGCAAAGCAATACTGCGCTGTTTGGAGACGGCTTTACGTAATATCACTTCAAATACATTATTTTCGTCCACATTGTCCATGGGCATGTGATCACGTTTAATTATATTATCATTAACCTCTTCAAATACAAGACCACCATTATTGGTATCTATAGAAGTAATACATTCATTCTTAAACTCCTTGTTCCACAATTCAGCGTTCCTGTTGGGTATAACCTCGTTAGGAAAACATTGTAACAATTCCTCAAAATTGCAATCAGCGACTAAGTTATTAAGTATCTCTGCAAGAAAACTCGTTGTAAATGACTATTCAAATACTTTCTGGATTTTTTTTACCTGTAACATACGTTTTCCAATTCGGTAAGAGATCCTTTTTTGCTAAAATCTTTTTAAAAAGTGATTCCCATTGTTTAGGACTGAAATGGTTAGACTGAAAAATGGGAATTCATAATAATTTATGCGACACAAGCCATATAAATATGAGTACCTTTCCATACTGCCACAAATACTCCGGACAAAAGTGTAGCATGTAGTTAATTGCCAAATGCTTGGGTAATATTATTACCAAAAAACTGTCGATACCCATAAGATTCGGCGTTTTTTGTACGAATGCAATAAATTCCTCTATTATGTCCTGTTCAATTTTTGGTGAAGCCAGCAATGACTGTAAATCGCAAGAGTACACATATATTTCAAAGGTATAAAAACTCTCAATTCACCCTTACCTGTATCTTTAACGTTAAGGTCAATAATTCATTGTGCCAGCCTACAAAACGTACTTCTGTTTCACCATCATCTATATTCGGATAACTAAAGTCTCCTCGCCTAAACGGTGGCAAGCGATTTAGATATTGTGGCCGTTCCAAAAGACATGGTATTGGTCTCACATACGATTTTATATGCCGATCAAAATCATCACCACTTAATTTATAATCTGGAAGAAGCGGTACACAAACCGATTTTGATTCAATGGTAGCTCCCTTTCCATGATACAGTACATTGGCCTTATTCAGATTCAAGTGTTGCTGTTGAGTTCTCATTTCTTGTAAATGTCGATTCATAAATGCAATGCATTCCATGCGCAAACTGAGAAAATCTTCATTTATTGACTGTTGTTCTAAATCGGCTGATTGTAGGTCGGTGATCAAGTCACTTAAAGCCTTTAGACGACCCATATACATGCGAAATAGAATTTTAAGACCTTTGCTATTGATTTCCACATCGTTATGTTGTTCTTCGGTATTAAGAGGCGAGGCATTTGAATTTCGTTTAAAGGGTGATTGTTGTTCCTGTAATTGATCGTACACAATGCGATTGCATTGTCCCGATACGCGCCTGTCGTCTAAAGAAGAGCTAGCGGCAGAATTACTCTCTCCAATTGAATTAGCGAGTGATTCACTGTCACGGTCACTATTGGGCTTCGAAAACCCGTCGTCATATTCATCGTCCGTATGAGGAGGTGTGTTATTGCTTGGCCCGTCTTGTGCAGTACTTAGCGGGTTTACATCAAACATATCATAGTAAAAAACCTAGTGTAAATAAACGCCATTAAAATTACTAGTGGTATACTACTAATTTATCTCTTTACCTGTAATATATTAACAAATACTTTTTGCGAGGTTTGGTATCCCTTTTGTCCGATGTGAGATGCAATGTAGTTCAAGAACAATGTTAGAATAACGTCCAGTGTTATGCTATGCTCCACACACAAAGCATGTATAAATACATCACTTATCGCTTCGATAAGTTCGACTTTTTCAGTTGCCAAAAGGATTGTCTCAGTGAAATCAGAAAAGAGAATAACTTCATTTGTTTGCTGCTGTCCATTGGTGTTTGGCAACAATTTTTGTTTTGTCTGTTGTTTTTGGGTCTGTTGTTGATAACGCTTCGGAGAACTATAGTTATTGTAATCATTGGTTTTGTTGCGTTTATGTTTTTGATACAATGTTGTGGTGTCATCGAAAAGTACATTCTTATACTTCATTAGCGCTATAGCTAAATCATGTCTATTCGTACGAGAAATAACCTCTTGAGACAAAATGTAGTTAGACATGCGCGCAGCTGTAACCGCAAACAACAAATTATCTTCGGCGCTTCTGTAAGAGGAAGTAAAAATGTTTTAGAGTGGAATGTGCTTTTAGACAATCATATCATACTCACAAATGATCCAGAAATTTTAAATAATTTATTATTTCACCACTTATGGAATCAGCCACTACGGGGGAGCTAAGCATTATCTGTGCTATATCGTTGGGTGAATATTTTATAAAGAGGTTAAGAAATTCTAATGACAGGGGGACATGTGTAAATCCCTGCTTTACCACCCGGCTGGGTGTAAAGAATGGTTTGACGAGTTGATTAAGAAACGACGCATTCAGACGACTTGTACCCAAACTCAGCAAAAACAATTTCACGGTGTAAATAAGTCCGGCTAATTGCTGAGATTCAATTGTGGACGATGCATCATCGCCAGGAGTGACAGGTGAAATCATTACCTCCCCATTCTCCTCGTCCATGTAAAGAAAATTATTTATATAGTTTCCATATATCTCAGACAGCGACAAGTTGCACATTTTGTAGAATCCGGATGCTTGCATATAAATTTCTTTTTTCTTTGATCTAATGGAAAAATCTGCCAGTTTTCGGCAATTTTCCATGAACTTGCCACGCAGCAGAGATTCTCTTTCTTCGGTCAACTTCTCAAATTGCAATGAAATACTCATTCTCAACATTGCATGAGCCTCCTCCATCAGATCATAAAAGTTGGAGCTACTAGCGGTACGATATGTCTCGGCTATAACCTCCAGGTCTAGAACAATTTGTTCTACAGCAGGTACCTCCAAATTATATAGAGTCCATTCATTTGTTACAGAATATTGATTAGCGTGACTGCTTCGCAATAGGCTATGCTTTGCCTTTGCCTCGGCAATAAGTCGAGCAGCTATATTTTTCTTTCCTTCCCCAGTACTTCTACGCTTCGCTGCTGTTTCATTTGCAGTCGAGGCCAGGGCCCCATTGCTTATTAAAACTACATTATTACGATTCACACACACATATTGGACGTGCATGAATGAAGAAAGACCTACGACAGCAATTGGGGCATTTACATCCGGACTAGACTCCTCGGGGAATAATTCTGCTAATGAAGGATACTCAAAGCGATTATTAAAAAGCTTGTGTCCAATGCGTGATGTATGCGTTTCTACCGATTCTGTAGTTATAGCATAGATGACATAATCATTTATATATACGTGGAGTACAGGCGCTGTGAAGGAGTAAGTTGCTATGGGTTTTTCATTTTCATTGTACCACTTGCCCTGAGCACAGAACTGATACAAATAACCGTCGACACTACTGGCCACAAGTAGGGCAAAACCAATGCAACTTTGGTGACGAGGAGATTTTAAAGTTCGCCTATTAATGTGTTTGGATGTTGAAATTGCACCCGGTACCTGTTGATTACCCATATCATATTCGGGATCATCGATTTCGTCCGATTCATTATCAGTACGTTGGTAAATGGCCTTTAAATCCATGCAACGCAAGATATCAACAACCCTCCCCCCACCAGGCTCTGAAGTCTTCATACAAATTTGCAATAATTTTCGAATATCGTATTGTACTGCACTTTCCTCGCTATATGCCGACACAATTTTTCCGTTACTCGAAATACGCTGTAATAGAAGATTACGATGTACGAATTGTATCATTTAGAGTTTCCAACAGGGTGGCTTGTACTTACCTGGACATTCATTGCCTTAGCCTCATTAACAAGTTTTATTTTAATTTCATTGGCTTTGGCTGGTCCAATAATAATTTCCTGGGTATCGCATGGTATATTCGATTTGACACTGTTGCCATCGACATCACTTTGTTCCCATTGTGACCTTATGTCAACCTCAAACTCTCGTCCGCAAGCCGAATTTACCATACGTGCTACATTGAAATCTATTGGTGTTCGGCCGGGATAGCCATTCATTGGTCGACCGCTTGCGGTTGTTTCCAAAGAGTCCGTTTCAAAACTATTGTGACTGTGTGAAGATGGACCAGCACTGGTCTTGCTGTTCAAACTGGATTCTGAATTTAAAGCAATCTCTTCCGCATCAATTTCAATATGGTTTTCTATGTGTTCAAAATCTTCACCGTACAACATTGTGCCACCAGCACCACCTTCTCCCGCTGTACACGCATTACTGGCAAGGACGTCAATCACACGAAATGCCACACAATAACGACTGTTCATGCAGGCTATAACATTTTCGGCCAAACTTAACTTAAGTGGTACGAAGTTGAGATTGACGAAAAATTTGAACGGCAAAAAGTCAATGTACTTGAAACGAGGCTGAGTACTTTCGTGAACACATTGAGTGTATTCATAGAGATAGATACGTTCCTTGCTGCTGACAATAATGTTTCCAGATGTCTGAAAATATGGAAAGATTTTTTCAAAACAAATGGCAAATATATAATTCCAATCATTTAATGACTTGACAATCTCAATTAGTTTTATCGCAAGAAAGCATTCGCTCTTTGAAGCTATACGTGACACTAGCAACCGATGAATATACGTGACACTAGCAACCATCACTTACCACTGCCGTTGAAGATGCATAACTAGGAAATGGAAAAAGTGCTCTGCAACTTAATACTATTTTATGTTATTCGCACTTTTTTCTCCACACCTCTTTTCAGGATAAACATGATGGATAACCGGTCTTTGTGGATGTTGTCCGATAGTTCAAATTTATGTAAATCATAAACATATACAAACTTATCAAATAATAATAACACTGTACAAATTGATAATTTTTAAAAATTATAGCCACACGCGTTACTCCCTTTACAACTTGGAGAGGACGATTCCAGAATGTATCGTTTGTGGGCTGGTTATACAAAGTTGTGACTCGGTTGTACGAAAGATGAAAATTTTTGATTTATGGCATGTTGTACCAATTGGTTATAATGTTTGTAGGCATGTCGCATAGATAATTCATTTTATGTTTATAGCATAGAAGCGCAAACCAAACCAAACTTGTCATTAAATACGGGTTACTAGTACATAGCCTTAGCGGATGAAATCAATTAATATTAAGAAAATTGATTCGATACCGAAACAACAGAGCTAAATTTTCTTGGTGACCATATCTTGTATATGTAATATCGGACGAACCCTATATAATATACGAACCCTACTTCAAATTTGAAAAAGGGTTCAGATACAGCTATAGTTCCTATATATGTTTCATTCGATTTGGAGTTTTAAGCTTTTTTAAGCGACCAAATTCATATTAGAAACCAGTACTTCTAATTTGGTGTAAATTGCTTCAGATATAGCTATAGCTCCCATATAAGTTTTGTCCGATTTAGGGTTTAAATTCCTTGGTACAAGATATCAGATACAGCTCCGAAAAGGTTGTATCAAATTTTGTCAAGATCGGTTCAGTTTTGCATATAGCTCCCATATGTATCTTCAACCGATTTCGGGTTAATTGTGGACCAAATGGCCAATATCAGTCAATTGACTTGAATCCTCACATTCGTAATAAGCATTCGACAACAATGATATTTGGTACCAGATATCTTTCAGAGCTCGTAAATAAATTTGCCAAATTCGAGATCCGCTAAGATTTGGATATAGCTTTCATATATATCCTTAATCCATTTTAATACATTTAAGACCCACAATACAATACATTTTAATACATTTTAGACCCCACAAAGTATATATTCTTGGTCAGCATAAAATTCTATGTCGATTTAGCAATGTCCGTCCGTCTATCCGTCTGTGGAAATCACTCTAGCTTCTGAACGAAATTAAGTAAGTTGAAAAAATTTACTCAAATGTTTATTATGTCTGCAGGACTTTTGGTATTGAAAATGGGCCATGTATAGCCCCCATATAACGGTACCTCTCGATATGCGGCATTTTGATTACTTTAGCGACATTATTTACCGGAATTATTTCGAATTTTGTATTTGAAGTTCGTAATGTATACTACAGCCTATGCCAGAAAATTGTCTGTGCAGGTCCACGTTTTATAACCCCCATGGTACCTCCCTATATTCGGTATTTAGATGATTTTAGCTACATTATAAACATATTTTTTTCAAGTTTCGCATTTGAATATTGTAATACCTTATGTCAAAAGTTGCTTATGCAGGTCCACGTCGTCGTATAGACCCTAATATACGGATACATTCGGAATTTTTAAGATTTTAACACAATTTTTAACGGATTTTTTTTTTTTTTTGTTTTTTTTTTTTTTTTGAAAATTTGCCAAATTTGTACCAAATGGTGGATGGTATTCAAAGTTTGGCCCGGCTGAACTTACAGCTTTTTTACTGGTTTTAATATAATTCTTCTCGAAGTGATATAATGCACTCTATAGCAATGTTGTTTGGTATACAAGATAAAAAAGTCTCCGTTAAATTTAGTGAAAATCGATTCAAAATTGGATATGCCTCTCATATATTAGTTCCGTCTGAAACCAAACTATAACTGTTCTAAAGCCAAATGTTGATAGGTGGTATGACCTACTTATTTGAGGTAGAGCGTATAAGATTTCAAAGTTGAACAAAATAACAATGAAATCAAAGAAGGCCAGAACTACCATATGGTTTCATTTTTTTATTTTCCTGGCCTAACTTGTGAACTTTATGTACGCGTGTGTATTATTTTCGATTTATGAATTTTTTTAGAAAATCAAATTTGATTTTAAAGTGATTATTTCAACGTATGCAAGGAAAAATGTTAAGTTTTTGTAGCGAAATAAATCTGTAAAGATATGCAGAACAAGATTTTAAAAAGAAACTATGATCTTTAATACAGTCATCAAGTTATCATACCTGGTCTTCATTGCACCATGCTTATACATTTTTTTGAAATTTGGTAACAAAAACTGGTAATAATTAAAAATGTGAATGTTTGGGTTGAAAAATTTTACGTTTGGAAGAATTTAATATAGATCTTTTTAATTAAAGTGTAAATATTTAGAAGAAAAAATCTACTTCGATAAACTCGCATTATAAGGATTTATTGATTTTTTCAACCAGTTTTATCATAGAAAAATAAATCCTAAAAGACCGTATTTTTTATATCTGATGCGTAATATTAGCCGAAAGGTAGTAGTTTCCGCAAAGGTGTTGTTTACATTTTAAATTCGAACAATAAGAAAATAATATCAAATTAGTGTAGGTTGCCGAATTAAATTAGTCTGCTAGTATAGGGCGGTAAAGTGAAGCCAATATTCAAATGAATATCTCTCAGTACAAAACGTAGAAATTGTTTTTTGCACTGATTCAATTTTATCAGAATAGATAGTATAGTAGATAGTGGATAGAGAAATCTTTAGCCCATCGCTCTATCGTATTCTTCCACTCGAAATAATTTAACACCACTCTAAACAACAAACGCACAACAACAGACCGCTTATATAATATTTACTTGAAATGTACGCGAATTTAAACACCAGACAACTACATTTGTATCTTACCTGACAACATTGTATTAAATCAGGTGGACTACGCAGTGGCAGTTCAATTACATCAATACTTTTCACTAGTGGAGCCTTTGGTGTGGTCATCGACGCAATGCGTATGGTAATGGGCAGATCAATTAATTTCGATTCCGAAAATTTCCAAAAATTAGCATAAATCCGCACAAACATTTTAGTTTCGTCTTCGGTGAAGACATTGGCATTGTTGCTGCTGCTTGTGCAGCTAATACTCGATGTCGTTGCATGTACTGGACTGCCAACAGTTTCCTTTTCTAATGTGAGTAAATATTTTCCTACAAATATATTTAAAAATTTTTAAATTTATTTATTTGGTAACACATTTTGCCAAATACAAACCTGATTCACAATATATTAAGTTAACAACTTCACCAACTGTAGCTAATGTATATTTATTGGGAGATTTCTCATCATTGTTTCCAACGTTGGTTGACGAATTGTTGGTTGCGACACTCGATGTTTGTACTACTTCAGCAGCACTATTAGGAGCTGTACCATCCCCGGTAGGAAATGTGTCTTTATCTTCTGGAACATGACGTTGTCTATCGACAATATCATAGATCTCAATAAATTGCTCAGCACTACTTATGGCAATACGATTCGAATCAATTAGTGTAGCCGACAATATTTCTCCATTCAAAGCAAACGTATTTTGCTTGGCAAAATTGTAGGCCTGAAGTATTTTAACCATTTTGTAAAACAAGAACTGCTGCAAGAAGATAACCGTTTTTTTAATAATATTTTTATCCACTGCGGAGCTTAAATTTCACATATTCTAAACAACGCCCTACAACAACGCTAACGTCATACTTTGACGTTTTTAATTTAACGTTTACTGCTTCTTAACATGTATGCACGGTGACCATCATAATGAGACTGAAATAGTCGCACACAAAATTTCGACTGCCCAAAACACTTGTGCGGAGAGTTTCGAAGTTAAAAAAGCCGAAACCAGAATTGTCAAAAGAGTGAAGTATACTAAAAACGAAACAAATATAACTTAAAACATTTGGTGTACAATTACGTCGTCATCATTGTCTACAAATAAATCTAAAGCATATGTGTGTATGTGCACTATTAATGTTCTAATGTAACGCTCTAAACACTTTAATCGTTACTCTGTCTTTTATTGTCATCATATTCTATAATTGCGATTAGTAATTAAAACTATGTAGGAGAATAGATAGGACTTTTGAGAAATGTTTTTTCAATTTTGAGTATGTAGTGGTGTATTGTTTTTCCGTATCAATTCAACAATTGTTTTTTTAATAAATGCATTAAATATCATATTTCATATATTTATTTTTTTTCAGAAGGTCTTATTCTACACTGCAACACTATGTGTTAAAGGTATTATAAAAACTAAAATCGGAGATATATCAAAATATCCACACTAATCAAATGGTCACATAATATTTCGAATTGCCATGAGTACAACAGAGAGTAAGGCAATCGCCACTGTATTTGGCATTGTATTGTGGTTCCGGCCATGTTGGAATGGAGTAATTTAGTAATGACAACAATGGCATTTAAACAAGATTTAATTACATAATTTGCAACCCCTTAAGAGATAAATCTGACATTTAGAATTATTTTTTTTTATCTTGAGATATTCGTTGATTCCAGTCCGAATGGCTGATATTGACTTATTAAATATTCTAAATTATTAATTTTAAAGATCAGAAAAAAATTGGGCAGTTCAAAATTATAACTGGATTGGAATTCGCTTTTTTATACAATCCACATGCAGAGTATGGAGGGTATTTTAAGTTAGTTTTCTAGCGTTATAATTTAAAATTTAGTACTTAGAGTTTGTAATGGGGTCTATCTCATGTGGCACAATATTGTCCATATATGTCCACGTTTTGCTGTAGCCCCATACAAAGGCACTGCACGATATTCGGTATTTTGACGATTTTAGCCACATTTTTAACAGTATTACGTAAAATTCAGTATTTGGATTTTGTAAAAGATTCTAATGCTTATAAATAACAATTTCTATATGAGTAAACTTTTTTCTATACCCCTATCCTCGCGATATTTGGTATTTTGATTGTAGTAGACAACTTTATTACAGAATAGTTTGAAATTTGGATTAGATGTCCCTACAGAAGTGGCGCAGACCTCTCGAATACTGGAAGTTCGGCATTTTTTTTTCGAACGTTCCCACGCCTCACATTCCCACCCCTGCCGACCGAGGGCCCAACCTCCCTTTACGGAGGGATCGTGTACACATCATGATCCGCATCATAATGGGAATTCAGATGGAAATTTAAAACCAGCTACAGAATCTAATTCATCAGCTAGTTTGTCAAATAATAAAACATGTATGTTAATTGCTTAAAAATAAAATTATTCTAGATTTCGCCCATTGAATAATTCGTGCGGTGAAAATCAGTATATAATAATTGGTAGTATCTACTAGATCTAAACGGAACATTAATTCTAATAGATGAGATTAGGAAATCTGAAGGTATATTACCATTTAATATTTTTAGTACAAACATGGAGTTCAACATAATACGTCTGCTTTTAAGTGTAGGCAATCTAATTAATTTTAGCCTGCTAGCATAAGAAGGCAAAGCAAAATCACTATTCCAATGTAAACCTCGTAAGGCAAATAGCAGAAATTGTTTTTGCACGGATTCTATTTTATCTGAGTATATTGCATATTGAGGATCCCATACAATAGAACCATATTCCAATATAGGTCTAACAAGAGACGTAAATAACAGTTTTGTTATATATGGATCAGAAAATTCTTTGGCCCACCGTTTAACAAAACCTAAAACACCATTTGCTTTATTTACCATTGTTATTACATGGCTATTAAAATTTAATGTTGGATCCATCAAGAGGCCTAGATCGACAAATGAATCTACAGTTGATAATGAATGACCGTCAATATTATATTGTAATATCAGAGAAGAAGATCTGGAGAAGCACATATGCTTACATTTGCTTAAATTGAACTCCATACAATTTAACCTGCACCATTTAAAAAGGCTATCTGAATTGTTTTGAAGTAAAATTGCTCGTTTATCACAATTTTGGGAAATGAATAATTTAACATAATCTGCGTACATTAACAATTTCGAGTAATTTATGGAATTAGGTAAATCGTCGATAAGTAAGACTACCAGAATTTAAAATACAGACGTATTTTTACTAGAGTTACATTCCAAATGACGGAAGGCATAAAAAGTTTGGCCCGGTCGAACTTAACTGATTTTTTACTTGTTTTAAGTTGACTTTAATTTCAAAAATAAAGAATTTTGTAAAAAAATGTAAAATAAAAAAAAAAAACAATTGTTGCATATTTAAAGACTATTTGACTTTATAAGTTTCCGCTACAGAGTTGCATTTTTCCCAGTTTCTTGAAGTTGAGCAACGTTTCTGGTTGCTCTGGTTATTACAAAAGAATCTTCGACTGTAATTACTATTTGTTTTAGTCAATGCATTCAGACAGTTGATGTAAATATGTACATCAGAACTTCATAAGACCTTTATTTCGAATTATTATCGAAAACTGTAGGTAAAAAAAGAAATATACACGATAATAATAATTTCAATATTTTTTCAGGAATATTCTTTTCATTCGGCTCGAAGTCGAACCGAAAACGGATAGTTCGGTTCGCTCTATTGTTAAATAGATTATATTTCAATTGAAAATATTTGAATACATATATGTGACGTTCAACATGAGAAAGTTATAAATTGACAAATTAAAAAAAAATGAAATGCTTTAAGTAGACTTCGGTGCCCGGAGTATCAACGTTTGTTGTGGGTATTATGTCTGAAAAAACTTCGGGGTTAGGACCAATATTCGAGTTGACCTGAAACCGGGCTTTCGACCCGAAAATTTAGATACAAAATCCGGGGGTTATCCGGTTCTGATATGATACTTATTTCCCTCACGAAGAAAATAGTTCTTTGCGTAATCAGGTTAAAAATTCCTACCCCATAATGGTGTTTATGCCCGCAATTGTTTAGGACATAGTCCCCTTATTATGAGGTTTATATCCGCTACTTTCTGGGGATTATGAGAGATTTTTTTACATAACTCCACTCTTATATGGAGGTTAGGACCGAAAAAAGGACGCAGTCCCATAATTATAAGAGGTTTATGTCGCGAAACATAGACTTCTGCGCTTTAGTGGTATATCACGAAGAAATAAAATCTTAATACCAGGTCAAAACCGGCCACTTAAAGAAGAAACTCTTTAACCTGGGCCGAACACAAAATACTTTACTTATAGAAATCCCAGTGTCCAGTGGGGTCCCGTTAACCAAGAGTTTTTTCTCGTAATCAGGATTAAAGTGTTTGTAAAAATAGTTAAATATAATTTAAAACGGAATTTTAATAAAACTTTCCTGACGTTCAGAAACACAAGGTTTAATCAACACATAGCAAAGCACTCCAAGTAGCACTCAGATGACCTGAGCATATATAAATAATTGTTATTTGACACGAAAAACTTAACTTTCCCAATCGACAAAAATGGAACATACGAAAGGAAGCGTTAGAACAGCCATAAATTATTAAAGCTAAAAATAAAGCAGACATATCTAATTTCCCAGTTGGGTTTGTGTATACGTATGTATGTATGTGTGCCGGCGGAAACGGAAAATGCGGACACAAAATATTAATTTGCACATACCTACATAATCACAACAGAGAGTAGGTCATCAACATTTGTTGTGATGCAATATGGGTGCGTCTACTGTTTCCATTGCTAGATTACAATCTTCTACAACTGATTCCATATTATGAAATGCTCAACATATTTCCTGTCATCTTTAAAGGGGATTTCTTAATAGGAAGTCACAACAAAGGAAGAACACACACACATTTGAAAAATCAATTTCGCATAATAATGAGAATCCTTTTATAAAATTCATGTATTTATACGTACGCTGACCTTATAATACTTATTTCTTTTTTCAGAAACTGCACGAAAGGATTTGTGGTTGTTTCCTTCTTTATTTTCGGATATGTGAATTGCTCTTAACTCACACCATCTTTGTAAGATATTCTTTTTTATTTATCCTTGTACATATTTTTATTTTTTATTTATTTACACTGTATTGCTAAGGATTCTTGAAGTCTCAACTGAACTTTGCAACATTTTCAAAACACTTAACATGAAATCAAAGAAATCACTTGCGTTTTATATTTATACTTCCAACAAAATTCTGCAACTCTCTTACAAAAAACAAAAGTTTAGTTTGTATTGCTTGTCAAAACATACTGCTGTTGATATTGGAGATGACAATTACCATACCGATAAACTCGGTACCGATAAATAATCACCCAACATACCAAAGTGTATCAATAAGTTAGACTGTTAAATTACAGTGGGCGCAAAAGTATTCGAACCGCGTTGTTCTCTCTCAGAATTACGTACATGAATAATGTCATATCAAGTTTCCAATGGAATTCGAATAATGTTGTTCGCTTTCAGAATTGCGTACATTCATCAAACCATTTACACGTCAGCAGCCATCATTCACAAAATCTTATATTTAGTTTTTAATCGTGGTAAAATTAAGAAGTTAACGTGGCGTTAACGCAATTCTATGTTTGCATTTATGGTAAAAAAATAAATTATGACATTTAAAAATTCAAAATAGAAAAATTTAATGAAATGTTTAAATATTTCAGGAAGACTGAAAATTATGAAGAAAATATATAATGATGAACGTATGTGCATTCAAACGAAAGTAAATTTTGTTTCTTCTCTCATCCGAGGTACTCTTTTTGTCCAATATTTTCAAAACTTTTGTATCGGCAGAAAAAAATGTTTGACAAGTGTCTATCCAGCAGAATTTAAGAATAGAAAAATATGGTCAAAATGTCAACATTTACACAAAAAGTTGAAAACATGAATGAAAATTGTAAAATTAATGATATAATAAAACTTTGGAGGAAAAACAATAATTTCTTCTACTACTATTAATGCTGATTGTATGTACTTTCGTACAAATTCCAATAAAAAAATTAAAAAACCAAAAATCTTAAAAAAAGGAGTTATGTTATTATGAATTACGAACCGTGCCGTATTGAAATTGCGTGATTGAAATTGCAATGAGAACATAGCATAAGTCGAACAATCTACTATGCATAGTCGAGTACTCGGGTTTCACCCAAGTCAATAGTCGAGTTTCAGAACTTTAAGTACTCAAAGTCGATTATTCGATTAATCGGAAGTCGACTTACGTGTCCCTAACACGTCAACGTCGACGATAATTCCTGAAAGTACATTAAACCAGACGTCATTTCGCAATTCTTGGTTTGTTTGCTCAAGTGTTTTTAAATACATTCCACTTATTTTAATTGAATTTTTTAAAGGATATTTTTACTGCAATATTAATTTAATCGAAATAAGTCATAACCGTTATGACAAAGTTTTTAACAACAGCACTCCTTGTGAGTTGCATTTTGTGTCTGACATTTGCATTGCCCGTCACCAAAACAAAAAAAGATGAAGAGGAAAAGCCAGCACAGCCTGCCACACCTGATGTGGAAACAGCATTAGAATACGAACGTTATTTAAAGGAAGTGGTAGAAGCTTTGGAAAGCGATCCAGAGTTCCGCAAGAAATTAGACAAGGCACCAGAAGCCGATATTCGGGTAGGTACCTAGACAACAAACACGTCAGAAGTTAATAATAAAAGTGATTATTTCAGAGTGGTAAAATTGCCCAAGAGTTGGACTATGTTAATCATCATGTACGCACAAAATTAGATGAAATCAAACGTCGAGAACTCGAACGCCTTCGCAGCTTAGCTACCAAAGAATTCGAATTAAGTAATGACATTGACCGAGATCATCTAAAAATTTCTCAACATTTAGACCATGGAAACGAGCACACATTCGAAATTGAAGATTTGCGAAAATTAATTAAAAAAACTTCTGAAGATTTGGCTGAAGCTGATCGAAAACGTCGCCAAGAATTCAAGGAGTACGAAATGCAAAAAGAATTCGAAAAGGAAATGATTAAAAAGGAACTGCCTGAAGAGCAACGTAAGAAGTTTGAAGAGGAACAGAAACAATTGGAAGAAAAGCATAAGAAGCATGAAAAGGTTCATCACCCTGGAAATAAGGCGCAACTGGAAGAGGTCTGGGAAGAGCAAGATCATATGGATAAGCAAGATTTCGATCCTCACACATTTTTCATGATTCATGGTAAGTATGATGACGAAAGAAAAGCTTTATTGGCAAAGCAAAGTTTAACAAAAGAACAAAATAAACCCTCTACTTAAGACTGGGAACTAATCCAATATAGTTCCTAACAAAGCTTTCAAAATATTTTTAATTTATTTATTTATTTTTTTTCCTATGCATATATACATGAGATATTCATAAAAATGTGTTTATAGTTTGTTGCGCATTATTAATGTGTATTTATCAAATAATTTACTCATTTTCAGATGTCGATGGTAATGGTTTTTGGGATGAAACGGAAGTAAAGGCGCTCTTTGTTAAAGAACTTGATAAAGTTTACAAATCAGGTTTGCCAGAAGATGATATGAGGGAGCGCGCAGAAGAAATGGAACGCATGAGGGAACATGTCTTCCAAGAAACGGATACCAATCGCGATGGTTTAATTAGCTTCCAAGAATTTTTGGAACAAACTAAACGTGATGAGTTCAATCGCGACCCCGAATGGCAAACCTTAGATGAACAGCCTCAATACACTCACGAAGAATATTTGGAATTTGAACGAAGACGAAAAGAAGAAGTTGATCGTATGATTGCTCAAGGCTTGGTAAGTATAACATAATGACGATAATGACAATTTCATTGATTTTTATTTCCAAAGCTGCCTCCACACCCAAATATGCCTCAGGGCTATTATCCAGATCCTAATCATGCCTATCAAGCCGGTGCATATCAACAACAACAGCAACAGCCCCAAATGCATTATCAAAACCCACAACAACAGCACATTCAACAGCAGCAACAATACCAACAACAGCAGCAACAATACCATCAACAGTATCAGCAGCAGCAATATCAACAACAGCAATACCAACAGGCACAATACCAAGGACAACAAGTAAACTTAAATCCAAATCAAATATATCAGCATGTGCCGGTAGCTCAACCACAACACCAACCCAATAACGTGGCTCCACCTCAGCCTCAGCAAGCACAACAAGCAGCTGGTAGCAACAATATACCAGTACAGGCACAACAACCAATTGTTAATAATGTTGTCCCTCAACAACAGATGCAAAATAATTTACCACCACAGCAACAAACAATTGTCAATAAACAACAGCCTGTCGTTCAACAGCAACAACAGCCTGTCGTTCAACAGCAACAACAACCTGTCGTTCAACAGCAACAACAGCCTGTCGTTCAACAGCAACAACAGCCTGCCGCTCAACAGCAACAACAACCTGTTGTTCAACACCAACAACAACCTGTAGTTCAACAGCAACAACAACGTCAACCAACACAATAAATCTAATAGAACCCGATCAATTTTAATAATTTTTAGGGTTCTAAAACCGTACGTTCAATTGTAATCAAATTCTAGTTCTCCATTATCGTTTAAACTTCCACCAAACGAATTATCAATTATTATTGAACTTTCCATTTGTTGTTGTGTCTATTTGTGATTCTTCTTTTTATAAAAAATAAGTAAATTTTCTTTACATACAAAATCTTTTACCGTGAAAATTTATAAATCACAACAAAGTTAATGTATGTTATCCATAGTCTAATTTCCTGTGATTGGTCACTTATCAGGGTTAACCCTGATTATGCAAACATACTTTTATACAAGATTCTTAAACACATCTTATACATTTTATATTTGTGCATTTCCTCAACACATTCTATTTTGTATATTTTACTTGTATAATTTTTGTAAATTTGTTGGTTTTTTTGTAACAATATACATAATAATTAATTTCCACATACATTCATATATATTATATACTGAAAAGTTGTATAATAAAATAGTAAAACGCATCAGCAAATTTTAGTTTTATTCCCATTGTATTTAATACTGATGTTTTTGATTTATACATTTCTTTGAATGTGTGTTAAAAGTACTTTTTCTTCTGTGAATGTCCGAAGAAGGTATTTTATGTACAACAAATATTTCATTCGGAACAGACTGGTCAAGAATTTCTGAAAATGAAATAAATAATTTCACTTTTTGTTGATATTCCCACAACAATGACATGTCTACCAGATATAGTAGACCAAAGTATTCCACTTTATCTAATACTGAAAAAAATAAATGTTAATTATAATTTTAAACGTTGTTGCGAAATGGTCAGGCTTAATCCCTTTATTGTTGTTTTAATAAAAACAACTACCTGAACGAAGTAGCATAACCATGTAAGTTGGTTTTGTCTGTAGCAACAAAAACCCCTTCGTCAACCGTGCCTTGTCTATTAATAGAACAAAGAAGCCAACAATATTCTATAATTTTAAACTTTTGTGGGGGTGGTACGAGAAGAAGCGACACGATATTTCATATTCACAATAGATCTTTTATTGAAAAGAATATTAAAAAAGAATCGTCGACATTTTGTTTCGCAAGTTATTATAAAAATATTGAAAATTGTAGTCCTTTGTGGGAAAGGTACCAGAAGGGATAAACCGACATATATCATCTTCACACCAGATCTTGTCTTAGTAAAAATACTGGAATATGTGAAATTTGAAGAGAATCAGGTGCTTATTTCTCATTTTATAAAATATTGACCATTTGTAGGGAGGCACATGATGGAATGACAGTCATGTATGGGACAATATTTTCATTCCTTCGTCTATATTTTCATTAGCCTATGTATGTCGTACATACCTATTGTTAAAAGTCCCATCTATATCGAGGAAAGCTGTCAAAGATAAGTTGGAGTATTCTATGTTTTTCTCTATGTATTCGAAAACTCCGTGTAGAGCTGTCTCCACTGACCGACCATTGACATAGGCATGCTGCGATGCACTTATTATCAGGCATGGTACAATGAAGAGAAGGTAGGCCAACTTGTTTGGCTTGTAATGTCAAAATTTGGCTTGTAATGTCAAAACAATAAAAAAAATCAAACAACTTGTTGCATTTATTTTGAATAAATAATTGAAAACCGCGTGAATTGAATGAAAGGTCAACACTTCTTTTCAAAGCCAGGTTCTATATATCTCTAAAGGATTATTTCGCTACAAAAACTCTAGATTTTGTCGATGCATACGATGAAATAAACATTTTGAAAACATCCGAATTTGAATGTTTTCTGAACAATTTTTTTGTTATTGAAAAGAAAACACATACATAAACAAATAAAGATGATATATTAAGCCAAGAAAATAAAAAAATTGAAATCATATGGTATCATAGCCCTACCTTGATATCATTGTACCATGTTATCAGGTATGTCACAAGAATGAATTCGGTGCGAAAGTGATTTTAATTTCGTATTAACTTCTTCAGAAAATGAAAGCCGCAACATTTCTTTTTATTTAAAATACTTTGCAAATTTTAATGGTTTCTGAATTGAAGAAAAATAAAAAATGTTCATCGATTTTATGGAGAGCCACCAGGCTCTAGCGAAAGGGTATGTCAAAGGTGATCGAGTGGTTGCCGAAACAAGATATTAAGTGATAGAAGTCATCAAATTGCAAGTTTCTCCAGTCAAATAAATTGCAATTTTCTCCAGTGAAATGTATCTAACCTTTATAGCATTTTTAAGCAGACGGCCTTCGGCCGGGGCTTGAGATTTTCTCCTCTGAGGTATGTCCAACACCGGCTACGCGATAAATAGTTTTTCTAAACATTGTAATTTTCGTAAGTAGCCGGCCTTAGGCGGGGGCTTGAGATTTTCTCCTCTGGGGTATGTCCAACACCGGCTACGCAATCCATAATTTTCTAAACTTTTATAAGTAAAACACCCTCTATTCTAATTAAAATTATTTATATTTTTTATTTAATTCATTTTAAATTCTTAAAGCTAAATTATAAAATATATTAACAAAACAAGTTGAAAAGTTCGTCCGGGCCGAATTTTGAATACCCTCCACCATTTGGAACAAATTTGAAAATAATATCCTTAAACAATTCTGTTAAACTTTTAAAAATACCGAATATAGCCGTTATATTGGTGTCTATACGACTTGGACCCACACAGGCATTGTTTGTCATAAGCCATTACCAAATTCAAATTCGGAACTTGAAATAAACGGTGAATAATGTAGCTAAAATCATCAAAAATCGTAAATAGGGAGGAACCGTTATATCGGAGCTGTGCGAAGACCTGGACCAGCACAGACAATTTTCTGTCTTAGGCTGTAGTATCAATTGCGAAGTTCAAATACCAAATTTTAAACAATTCCTGTTAATAATGTCGCTAAATTAATCATCAAAATACCGAATATAGGGAGGTACCATTATATGGGGGCTATACGAAGACGTGGACCTGCACAGACTATTTTCTGTCTTAGGCTGTAATATCCATTTCGAACTTCAAATGCCAAATTTGAAAAAATATCCTGTTAATAATGTCGCTAAAATCATCAAAATACAGAATATCGGGAGGTACCGTTATATGGGGGCTATATGAAAACGTGGACCTACATGGCCCATTAACGAACTTAACCAGCCTACTGAAAAAATAAACATGTGTGCAAAATTTTAGCCTTCTATCTAAATTCGTTCGAAAGATAGCGTGATTACAACAGACAGACGGACGGGCATCGCTAAATCGACTTAGAATTTTACGCTGATAAAAAATATATATACTTTGTTGGGTCTGACATGAGTATTTCGAGGAGTTACAAACGGAATGACAAAGTTAATATACCCTCCATAGTATGGTAGAGGGTATAAAAAGAATAATAAACAAGTAAAAAAGCTGTAAGTTCGGCCGGGCCGAACTTTTAATGCCCTCCACCATTTGGTACAAATTTGGCAATTTCCAAAAAAAAAAATAAAATAAATAAATAAATAAATAAATAAAATAAAAAAAAATCCTTTAAAAATTCTGTTAAAATCTTAAAAATACCGAATGTCTATACGACGACGTATACATGCATAGGCAACTTTTGTCATAAGTTATTACAACATTTAAATGCGAAACATGAAGAAAAATTTGTTTATAATGTAGCTAAAATCATCAAAATACCGAATATAGGGGGTACCGTTATATGGGGGCTATACCAAGACGTGGACCTGCACAGACAATTTTCTAGCATGGGCTGAAGTATCCATTACGAACTTCAAATGCGAAATTTAAAACAATCCCGGTAAATAATGTCGCTAAAATCATCAAAATACCGAATATCGGGGGGTACGGTATATGGGGCCTATACGAAGACGTGGACCTACATGGTCCATTTTCTGCTTTCTGCTGCAGTATCTATTACGAACTTCAAATACCAAATTTGGAACGGTTCCGTTAAATAATGTCGCTAAAATCATCAAAATACCGAATATCGGGGGGTACCGTTATATGGGGGCTATACGAAGACGTGGACCTACATGGCCCATTTTCTGTTTTCTGCTGCAGTATCTATTACGAACTTCAAATACCAAATTTGGAACGGTTCCGTTAAATAATGTCGCTAAAATCATCAAAATACCGAATATCGGGGGGTACGGTATATGGGGGCTATACGAAGACGTGGACCTGCACAGATAATTTTCTGTCTTAGGCTGTAGTATCCATTACGAACTTCAAATACCAAATTTGAAACAATTCCGGTGAATAATGTCGCTAAAATCATCAAAATACCGAATATCGAGAGGTACCGTTATATGGGGGCTATATGAAAACTTGGACCTACATGACCCATTTACGAACTTAACCTGCCTACTGGAAAAATATACATGTGTGCAAAATTTTAGCCTTCTATCTCAATTTGTTCGAAAGATAGCGTGATTACAACAGACAGACAGACAGACAGACGGACAGACAGACAGACAGACAGACACACAGACAGACAGACGGACATGGCTAAATCGTCTTAGAATTTTACGCTGATCAAGAATATATATACTTTGTTGGGTCTGACGTGAGTATTTCGAGGAGTTGCAAACGGAATGACAAAATTAATATACCCTCCATAGTATGGTGGAGGGTATAAAAAAATTGAAAATTAAACAAAGCTTAAATTAAGAATAACAAAATTAAACAATAAAAATTTAACAATTAAATTAACTTATGTTAAGTGCGCCTTCTTTTTTCGGTGGTGCTTCCTCATCCTCGGAGCTATCGGACTCCTCAGAAGCACTCACTTCCAATACTATAGAGGGTTCCGATAGATTCATCTGGAATTCCTTTGTTTTCAACTTTAGGGTTTGTGGGGTCGTAAAGTTGTCCAGCAGGAATTCCTCAAATGGATTTTCCTGGTTAACATTGCACAACCTCAAGAAAATAAATTTCTGTATATAACCGTTGAAAAATATTTTTCTTCGGTTATATGCAGAAAGTGATACCTTGAGGCGGCGCCACAAACCCTCTATAGTGGTATGGTGCCCCGTTTCGGTATCCACAAAATGCTCCGAATGGTTGACTTTTTGATGGGTGTACCCCTCCTCATCCAAAGTGTAATAAGCCTACAAAAAAAATATAATATTTATTATAAGATAATATATGTCAACATATTATATAATCTTACCTTACAAAAATCGGAAATAATAACAGAACCGGGTCTTATACATTTTTTAATGAGGGGCAGCAAGGTTTGTTTGGAGCAGTCTTCAACGGGAACAATAAAACATTTATTCGTTTCCCGTTTAATACCGCCGAAAACCCATTGTCCCTCAACAGCATAGCCACGGTGAAACTTCCTCTTTCCAATTTTGGATTCGTCGATTTCGACAATTTTACCAGGACCGCCTATTTGCAAATGCGTCTGGAATGAACTGAAGACCACAACTTCTCTACAGAAGTTGTTCCAGTCCACCATATTTCTCTCGCAATATGCCATTAATAGGGCCTCCACTCTCAATCCACATAGAGCTAAAGACAATAATTTGACAAATAGAGAGATGTGAGTTATCAAAAAAATGTTCCTTTTCGTAAGGAACGTTTCAGATTACATCTCCATGGTCGACGGCCCCGAAGCTTCTTTTGACACCTAAAAATAAATACAATTAGACATATGAAATGTATAAAACGTGATTTACTTACCTCCAAATCCACCCATCACAACAATCAACATAAGGACACAACTCCATGCAACGTCCGCGATTGCAATTTAACGTATCAATATTGGGAATTTGTCCCCACGTTTGCAATTGGCGAAGGGTACCTTCTGACAAACTTCCACTGCGTTTCAAATCAAAAATTTTGTATATTTTTAAATTTTCAACACGTTCCATTGTAATTAAAAACTAAATAATTTTTAACGGTACTATTTAGGATTTTTCTGGTAAGCATTGCACCACCTCAAGAAAATAAATTTCTGAATATAACCGTTGAAAAATCTTTTTCTTCGGTTATATGCATAAAGTGATACCTTGAGGTGGCGCCACAAACCCTCTATAGTGTTGATATGTTGCACCGTTTCGGGATCCACAAAATGCTCCGAATGGTTGACTTTTTGATGGGTGTACCCCTCCTCAAGCAAGGTGTCATAAATCTACAAAAAAAGATAATAATTATTATAATAATTATTTATATCAAGTTACATAATCTTACTTTCCAAAAATCGGAAATAATAACAGAACCGGGTCTTACATACTTTTTAATGAGGGACAGCAAGGTTTGTTTCGAGCGGTCTTCAACGGTAAGAATAAAACATTTATTCGTTTCCCGTTCACTACCGCCGAAAACCCATTGCCCCTCATTTACATGGCCACGGTGAAACTTCCTCTTTCCAATTTTGGACTCGCCGATCTCGACAATTTTACCAGGGCCGCCTATTTGCAAATGCGTCTGGAATGAACTGAAGACCTCAACTTCTCTACAGAAGTTGTTCCAGTCCACCTCAGTACGCTTATCAATATTTGTCTCTCGCAATATGTCATTAATAAGGCCTCCCCTCTCAATTTACATAAAGCTAAAGACAATAATTTGACAAATAGAGAGATGTGAGTTATCAAAAATCGTTCCTTTTCGTATGGAACGTTTCCGATTACATCTCCCTGGTCGACGGCCACGAAGCTTCTTTTTGGTACCTAAAGATAAATATAATTAGACACATGAAATATATAAAATATGATTTACTTACCATGCAACGTCCGCGATTGCATTTTAAGGTGCCAACATTGGGAATTAGTTCCCACTTTTGCAATTGGCGAAGGCACCTTCTGACAAAACTCCACTGCGTTTGAAGTCAAAAATTTCGTATATTTCGAAAATTCAACACATTCTATTGTAATGCAAAACTTAATTAAAAACTAACTAATTTTTAACGGTACTTTTTAGGTATTCCCTTTCCACTTACATTCGTAGAAATTCTTATTATCTTGATTCCCTTTCTATGCAGTTTCGTAAAAAGGAATGCAAAAAATGCTGTTAAATTAAAAGTAGTTTTTAGTCAACATCGGATTAAAACATAGCAGATAAACAAAAACGTTAAACCCGACATAATACTTGGCTTCACTCAAACTGCTTTCATAAGTAACGACTTTAAAAGCCAATATCTTTGGAACTACAAAAGATATCAACACGTATGAAAAGCAATAATGTTGGCAATAATATATATAGTGTACATTTTAATACCCTATAATGGGTCCATTTTCGAGTTTTTATGGGTGAAATTGAGGAATGAATTGCAATGTTTCTTTTTGCACAAAAAAAAAAATTTTAACAGAATATTTACACTTCTACAATGTTCCTAATCATGTATTTTGTTTTGATTCCTCATTCATTCGTTCTTTCATTCCCCTAATGTTACCTTATTGAATATATAATGTTGGCATATTTACACAGAATTCATAGTTCATCAAATCTTACGAAATCTAAATAAGCTAAAACAAAAACGTACGATTTTGAATTGCGGAATTCAAACCATTTCGATACGATTTTTTATATGCCCGTATATTAACATTTAAATTTGAACGCATTTCCAGGACCAGGTCCTAAAGTCCTTTAAAGGGCTTCATTAGAAAGGAAGATAGTCTTTAGGTATCAAATATTATAACAAATGAAGATAAGTAAAAATAATAATTTATGGGCTTATTAGATGAATCAGTCATACAGGGATAAGCCAAAAGCAAATGACCAAAGCCATGGATGTTTTACTTAATATTTGATTGAAACTAGCTGGCCCAGTCCGCATTGCCGGCCCGTACTTTTAGTCTTTAACGCATAGTTTTTAAAGCAAAATAATTCACAGATCTGGCTCACATAAGTGGCACAATTTTTAGTATAAATGATGACCCGGCTTAAGAGAAATAAATATGCATCTCAAAAATGTCAGTACAGGTTCATGTACCGGGCGAGGTTTTGATTTAAGATTTAGACACGCAAATAATATAGCAAATATTTTAAACAGTGTACATCAACTGTTTATAATAGTCCCATGTAAGTTGGTTCTCTACCCTCAAAGTACTCTAAACACACATTTTAAGCCAATTCGATTCGAAAATATAATCAAAACCCTCGAAATATGTAAAATCAGGAGGTACCTTTATATGGGCGCTACTCCAAAACATTGACATTGAAAATTTTTCGCGAAGAGGTCTTCTACCCCCTTAGACGCTAAGATGCCAAATAAGGGCAAAATTAATTGAAAAATGTGACCAAGACCCTGGAAATAGTTGAAATCTGTGGATACCTTCATATGAGGTTTATACCAAAGCTTGGTCCTATACTTATAATTATTTTAAAGATTGTTTTGTTCCTTATAAAATCTGAAATTACTAACATTTAAGGAATTGGAAAGGGGCTATATCACAATGTAGACCGACCTGATACATATTTGGTACAAATGTTTCTTCATGTAACCTATAGGACTGCATCATGGTTGAAGAATAGAGGTAGATGCATCAACGCTTGGGAACATTGATATGTCAAAAAAATTTAAATGTTTTTTCAAATATAAGTAGATTTGTGTATGTTTTCTTATGCGACGACGAGGTTATTAAAATGCGCGTTTTCAACAATTTCTACAAATTTAAATAATTTTTCATTCAACATTTTCCATTCCAAAATTGGTTTGACAGTTCATTGTCCCAGCAGCTGTGTCGATGCATCTACCTATATTCTTCTACCACGGGACTGCATCAAATTTAAAACTCTATCTTAACTTTTGTGGAGTATAGAGTAAAATATTTGAGGCCCTTTGTGTATGGTTAAGCTATATAAAAAGGATCCTTAAAAAGACCCGGGAACCCCTCTTTTGGGATTTTTATCTACCAACCGAAAAATTTCCCAACCCTATGATTGTCAGCGGCACAGCGTAATTGCTGACGAAAGCACATAGTCCCCTTATAACGTTACCAATGATTTAAGGTTACTTTTAAGGGCTCGGAAGAATTTTCCAAGGATATGAATCCTTTTCTTACTAAATTTTCAATTCGCTCCACTATTTTGTATAGTCCGCAAATTACACTGCCTCTTCATACTCGGTATTTCACTGATTACAGTCCCAAAGAATTTAGCATTTTAGTTTTGCATTGGATTTCCATATCTAGTGAATTTTTTGGAGTTTTCGACCTCAGAATCAAAATTGAAATCCTGGCAATATGTCTTTAATTTAACTTTCATAAATAAGGTGTCATCGGTTTATGAAAGTTAGGGCCCCATAAAGTATGTTAAAGTGTAGAAATCTTTGTCGATTAAATTATGACATGTTTTTGTTACAATTTCTACCGTAATTTGAATTTTAATGTTTTCAGTATTGTGAAATCAATACCGGCAATAAATGTGTACTATTGGTTCCCCAATAGGCATAACCCCAATTTAAAAGTACGTTGAAATTTTAAATGTTTTGATGCTTTCTGAAGTATTTTAAACCACAATTGAAAATTTTGGTATGGCAACCATATAACGGCATGTATAGAAAATATGCAAAATTTCTCGGTTTATTATACCCTCTACCATACTATGGAGGGTATATTAACTTTGTCATTCCGTTTGTAACTCCTCGAAATACTCATGTAAGACGCAACAAAGTATATATATTTTGGATCAGCGTAAACGGGCAGCGGTGCCCGTCTGTCTGTTGTAATCACGCTTCTTCTGAACGAATTGAGATAGAAGGCTAAAATTTTGCACACATGTTTATTTTTTCAGTAGGCATGTTAATTTTGTAAATGGGCCATATAGGTCCACGTTTTAATATAGCCCCCCCGTATAACGGTACTTCCCGATATTCGGTATTTTGATGATATTAGCGACATTATTAACCGGAATTGTTTCAAAATTGGTATTTTAAGTTCGGGATACTACAGCTCATGATACAATGAAGAGTAGGTAGGTCAACTTTGAAAAAAATTGCAAGTATAGAGTCTACCTGTTTGGCTTGTAATGTCAGAATTAGTATCAAAAAAAATAAAAAATCTAACAACTTGTTGCATTTATTTTGAATAAATAATTGAAAAACGCGATAACTGAATGAAAGGTCAACACTTCTTTTCAAAATCATGTACTATATATCTCTAAAAGATTATTTCGCTACAAAAACTCTAGATTTTGTCGATGCATACGTCTGAAAACACCCGAATTTGAATGTTTTCTGAACAATTTTCTTGTTATTGAAAAGAAAACACATACATAAACAAATAAAGATGACATATTAAGCCAAGAAAATAAAAAAATTAAAATCATATGGTATCATAGCCCTACCTTGATATCATTGTACCCATGGTACAATGAAGAGAAGGTAGGTCAACTTTGAAAAAATTGCAAGTATAGAGGTCTACCTGTTTGGCTTGTAATGTCAGAATTAGTATCAAAACAATAAAAAATCAAACAACTTGTTGCATTTATTTTGAATAAATAATTGAAAACCGCGATAACTGAATGAAAGGTCAACACTTCTTTTCAAAATCATGTACTATATATCTCTAAAGGATTATTTCGCTACAAAAACTCTAGATTTTGTCGATGCATGCGTTGAAATGAACATTTTGAAAACACCCGAATTTGAATGTTTTCTGAACAATTTTTTTGTTATTGAAAAGAAAACACATACATAAACAAAAAAAGATGACGTATTAGGCCAAGAAAATAAAAAAATTAAAATCATATGGTATCATAGCCCTACCTTGATATCATTGTACCATGATTGTACCCATGGTAGGAGAATATAGGTAGACGCCACAGCTGCTGAGACAATGAACTTTCAAACCAACTTTAGAATTGAAAATGTTGAATGAAAAATTATTTAAATTTGTAAAAATTGTTGAAAAATGCGAATTATAATAACCTCCGAATGACGTCTTATAAGAAAACATTTAAAAATCTACTTATATTTGAAAAAACATTTAAATTATTTAGACATATCAATGCTCCCAAGCGTTGATGCATCTACCTGTATTTTTCTGCCATAATTGTACCATGCTACAACCCATGGTACAATGAAGAAAAGGTAGGCCAACTTTGAAAAAATTGCAAGTATAGAGGTCTACCTGTTTGGCTTGTAATGTCAGAATTAGTGTCAAGACAATAAAAAATCAAACAACTTGTTGCATTTATTTTAAATAAATAATTGAAAAAAAAACGCGATAACTGAATTATTTCGCTACAAAAAATTTGATTTTGTCGATGCATACGTTGAAATAAACATTTTGAAAACACCTGAATTTGAATATTTTCTGAACAATTTTTTTTGTTATTGAAAAGAAAACACATACATAAACAAATAAAAAATTAAAATCATATGGTATCATAGCCCTACCTTGATATCATTGTACCATGCTACAACCCATGGTAGAAGAATACAGGTAGTCGCTTTGACACAGCTGCTGGGACAATGAACTGTCAAACCGATTTTGGAATTGAAAATGTTGAATGAAAAATTATTAAAATTTGTAAAAATTGTTGAGAAATGCATATTGCAATAACCTCCGATTCCCATCGTATAAGAAAATATATAAAAATGTACTTATTTTTGACAAAACAATTTTAAAATTTTGACATATCAATGTTCGCAAGCGTTGATGCATCTACCTACAGAAAATTGTCTGTGCAGGTCCACGTCTTCGTATAGCCCACATATATTCCCACCCCCGATATTCGGTATTTTGATGATTTTAGCGACTTTATTCCCCGGAATTGTTTCCAATTACGCATTTAGAGTTCGTAATGGAAATAAAGTCTGTCTATTGTCTGTGCAGCCCCAGGTCTTCGTATAGGCCCCATATACCAGTACCTCCCTATATTCGGTATTTTGACGAGTTTAGGTACAATACTCACCGAAATTGTTTGGAATGTCGTATTTGACGTTCGTAACGGATGCTACAGCTTATGACAGAAAATTGTCTATGCAGGTCCAGGTCTTCGCACAGCTCCGATATAACGGTACCTCCATATATGCGATATTTTGATGATTTTAGCTACATTATTCACCGTTTATTTCAAGTTCCGAATTTGAATTTGGCAATGACTTATGACAAACCATGCCTGTGTGGTCGTATAGACACTATTATAACGGCTATATTCGGTATTTTTAAACTTTTAACAGAATTTTTTAAGGATTTTATTTCCAAACTCGTTTCAAATGGTGGAGGGTATTCAAAGATCGGCCCGGCCGAACTTACTGCTTTTTAACTTGTTTTTCAATAAGAATTTTTAATTCCAAAAGGCACTCAAAAAAAAGTTCTAACAAAATTCCAGTTAATTTTTTCAGTTCTGCGATTTTTCTAGAGACTTTTCTCAAATTTTTCTTTCTTGAAAACGTTTCCAGTGTAATAACAAAGAATGAAAATAAAAAGCTCTTTGTGTGAGAATACATAAAATGCTGGCTTAAATCATAATCGAACTCAGTCAACCTAAAACTTCTTTTTTCCTCTACGAAGAAGCCAGCCGATGATTTAAACCAGTCAGAAAAACGTTTTATGTATTCTCACCTTAAACTTGACATATTAAATCAAGAAAAAAATGAAATCGATTGGTTGCAGTTCCCTACCTTGATTTCTTTGTACCATGCGAAAACCTATTTGTATGCAGTCTGAGCCTGAACAATGTGATTCGATTACTGGTGGAAACATGCTATTCAATTTTTTCATTAATTCGATATCGTATCGATACTATGCTACTAATAATCGCTTAGTTAAATTTCGAATTACATATCCCTAAACATAAGGAAAACCTTCATTTTTCATCGCATTTTGTTGAGCGGCACACATTTATTTAACATAAACTGAAAATATTTTTTTGCGGAAAAAAACGAAGAACTTAAATAATAGAATATATAAAAAATACCGCAAAAATTGTACATTCATCTTTAGAAATAATATCATTTACCAACTGTATCTTCAAGAATAACACAATTAGGTAAGTAGTAGAGAAGTATGGCCGCGCCACATGCAGAAAAAAGTTCGAGAAACTTTTGAGTATTTTGTTGTTGATGTATTGTGTGTGAAGATGAATACGATTTTTTTAAGTTGAAATATCTTAAACATCAATAAGGTGAATCTGTGCGATTAGATTACCGTCGTCCAAATTTTTTAGTGTGGTGATGTGGAAACGGGAAATCCCTTTGTTTGGCTCAACTATGACGTTTCACCAACGTGATCGCCATTTATGGATTACATTTTGTAAATGTAAATGGTGTCTATTTTCAAGATGACGACTGCGATGGGAAAAATCTTGTTTTTTTGTGGATTCCCAGTAGAAAAACTTGATTTGCTTTATGGGATATCCATGGGATGTGAGTTGTATATAAAGACTATGTAACATTGCATTTTTTCCAGCCTAAGGAAATTCGTTACTTAATAGACGATTGTTTGTAAAATAGGAAACACCATAAGTGTTGTTGCAAAAGAAAAAGAAAAATTCGATGTATGTGTGTACGTAGCTAATTCTTTAAAACGGCGTACAGGTGTTTTTAATCAATATTATAGTAGCTAATATTGTTTCGTGTCGTTTTCTGCTTACATTATCACTTAAAAGTATTTTAAGGAAATATGAAGAATAAAAATAAGATTTTTCTAAAAAATATTCTTTATTCTGTGAAAGCAGACTATGTTCATTTTGACATTTTTCTGCAGTAAGCTTAAATTTAATAATTTTCGAGTTAGCACACTGTCTATCACCATTGTCTCCAATTTGCTCTTTATTTGTCTAAATAAAGTACGTTTAACTTTTTTAGATTAAGATAAAATGGCTCGTGGTCACCAAAAAATTCAATCACAAGCAAAAGCCCAAGAAAAGCAAGCCAAATTGAAGAAGCAGCAAGGACACAGTGCTACTGAACAGAAGAAGGCAGCAATGAAAGCCTTAGTTTATATCTGTGCCGTATGCAAAGTAAGTAAAGCAAATTAACATTTTTCGAACTCAACTAAGACCTGTGATTTTGTATTCGCATCTTTCAGTCTCAAATGCCTGATCCAAAAACGTACAAACAGCATTTCGAAAACAAACATCCCAAAAATGATATGCCACCAGAGTTGAAGGACGTCTAAAGTATTCAGCAGTTTTTGTTTTATAAACAAACAGAAAAACATAGACGCGCACCCGCCTCTGATTTGAGGATTACTGCTAGCAGCTTGCTGTATAATCTTGTAATTAAAATAGCTGTTTATTTATCTACACATTTACTTTTTTATATTATGGTAATTTACTTTATTTTTCTTTTTATGAAATATTATTGAATTACAATACGTTCAAAAAACAAAAATTAAAAAAATAAAACATGACGATTTACACCATATACGATGGCGCGATCAACTTGTTATATGGATACTGTAACTGAAACGAAACGGAAAAACTTTGAATTAATTTTTTTTGTTCCTTTTTCACCGGATTTGTTATATTAGAGATGAATGCATCCACAAAAAATGTGTAAAATAGATATTATTTTGATATAAAACCAATACATTTATGAAAATTATATTCTCTCTCTAGGGCGATTTTATTTTGATCTGAAGCAAAACCAATTTAATAGGGCCAAAAAGGAGGTGAATTCGAACCAAAAAGTTTTCTTTCTGTCAAAATTAAAATTGCGAGATTTCATTGTCACTACAACAAAATTATATTTCGATTTAATACAACTAATTGCCTTACTGTACTCTGGCGAAAAGATTGTACCACCTCGAAAAATTGGCCAAACACATCATTTAGTATACTGATAACCAAATCTCGATCAAGCTCCCTGTCCGATCCACATGAAATTGTACAATGTTTGGACATGAATAGCATATGAGAAACTACTTACGAATTGAAATTAATCGAACAAAGAATATCCTTATGTCCCCACCCCTGCCGACCGTGGAGTGATCTCCTTTTTCGTAGGGACCGCGTAAACATCATGATCTACATCATAATGGGAATTGAGTAGATAATAGATAAACAGTTATACAATTTATTTCAACAACTAGCTTTTTGGATAATAAAACACAATTTTAATTGTTTAAAATATAATTATTCTAGATTTAATAACTTCTAAATCCATACTAAAATCTGCACAGAATTACTAAGTGGTTCACCCATCGAACAATTCGTGCGGTGGAAATCGGTACATAATAATTGAAGGTGTACTATTTTTAGTTTCATTATGGATTTAAACATAACGTCTGTTTATTGGTTATTAACGGGCAGAAGGAGATAAGAGAGAACCATAATTCATTTTGGTGGTCTACATAGAATCAATTTATGCATGCCCATATATTATTGTAAGAAATGTGCATTTGTTTTACATACATTTATGAAAACTGTAAAATAGTAACTTTGTTTGGCCTATAGACAAACACTATTAAAATTAGTAATTATCGGTTGATTGTGCATCAAATACTTATCATCAGTTCAAATATGATGGGTTTTACCACATGCGACCGCATATGGCCTAACAGCAGGTATGTGAAATTTTATAAAAATATCACATAATTCCCAATATAAACAAATAAAAACCACTTTTCATCTGATCACAGAGATCGGAAAAATATAATTTTGTTAAAAGTGTTATTTGTTTGTTTGTTGCGTAAAAACTTAAATTTGCGGTAAAAATTCATTCATATTTTTTTTAATAAAATACAACCACAATGTAATCATAGGAAATAAAACAAGTAAAAAAGCTGTAAGTTCGGCCGGGCCGAACTTTGAATACCCTCCACCATTTGGTACAAATATAACAATTTTCAAAAAAAAAATCCATTAAAAATCTGTTAAAATCTTGAAAATACCTAATGTAGCCGTATATTAGAGTCTATACGAAGAAGTGGACCTGCATAGGCAACTTTTGTCACAAGCTATTACAATATTCATTATAATGCACAGGCAATTTTCTGTCATAGGCTGTAATATCGAACTTCACGAACTTCAAACGCGAAATTTGAAACAATTCCGGTAAATAATATCGCTAAAATCATCAAAATACCGAATATCGGGGGTAACGTTATATGGGAGCTATACGAAGGCGTGGACCTGCACAGGCAACTTTCTGTGATAGGCTGTAGTATCTATTAAAAACGTTAAATACCAAATTTGAAACAATTCCGGTAAATAATGTCGCTAAAATCATCAAAATACCGAATATCGGGAGGTACCGTTATATGGGGGCTATACGAAGACGTGGACCTACATGGCCCATTTTCCGTCTTAAGCCGTAGCATCTATTATGAACTTTAAATATTCATTTTGAAACAATTCCAGTAAAAAATGTCGCTAGAATCATCAAAATACCGCATATCGGGAGGTACCGTTATATGGGGGATATACGAAGACGTGGACCTATATGGCTCATTTTTCGTCTTAGGATGTAGTATTCATTACGAACTTCAAATACTAAAACTGAAACAATTCCGGTAAATAATGTCGCTAAATTTATCAAAACACCGAATATCGGGGGGTACCGTTACATGGGGGCTATACGAAGACGTGGACCTACATGGCCCATTTTCAATACCAAAAGTCCTGCAGACATAGTACACATTTGAGTAAAATTTTATCATCCTACTTCATTTCGTTCGGAAGCTAGAGTGATTTCCACAGACGGACGGACAATGATAAATCAACATAGAATTTTATGCTGATCAAGAATATTTATACTTTGTGGGGTCTAAAATGTATATTTCGAGGTGTTACAAACGGAATGACAAACTTAATATACCCTCCATACTATGGTGGAGGGTATAAAAACATAAGCAAGTATGTTTTAGCAAAAATTATAAGTCACATGCAGATTTCGATTGCGTACTGTACCGGTACAGTATCGCTAAAAAGTTTTTTAGCGGCAGTGTACCGGTACTCTGCAACTAAAAAATATTTGAGTGATATTGTACCGGAACACAACGATAATCGTACTGTACCGCAGTCGGAAAGCTAAAAAAAGGAAGGGTTCCGAAATCGAAGCACTAAACAGAAAACAGGTGAAACTAAACGGAGAAATCAATATGTCCGTTGTAAAAATGTTGTTTCCAATCTTCTTCCAGTGAGTAGTGATGTGCCACAGGGATCTGTTCTTGGACCTCTATTGTTCGTCATGTATGTTAATGATTTGCTGAGTTGTATTAAGGGTAGAAATTTAATGTCGTTTGTATTTGCTGATGACATTCAAATCTCGTTTAAAGGAGAATATTTGTTTATGGATGTGTTGCAGTCATCAAGTGATTTTAGTGTTAATATGTTGGTACCTTGGTTGTCCTGTAGCGGTCTCTCAAGAAATACTTAAAAATCAAAAGTTATGTTTTTGGGAACTTGCAAGAAGATTTAATAAACTTTTCCATTTGTAGGACGCTAATGAATGTTGTAAGCTCGATGAAATGTCTTGGTTTGTTTATTGATTTCGGCTTGGTGGGTAAGGTAAACTTTATTTTAAAGAACTTGTTCTGTTTGGATATAGTTTTGCCCATGGTATAACTACAGAAGGTAGAACAAAGCTACCCCTTAAATACATTTTTTTCTTTTTGTGCCCTTATTCTGTCAAAATATATACACACTTTGAGTATGTGTGTGTTGTTGTTGAATTACTAATTCAATAATTGGAAATTATTTCAAATTTGGTTGCAAAATAAATGCAAATTTTCTACGAAATGGGTAATAAATTGTACAATTTTGCGAAAAAATACTGTATTGTCACACTATTTTAGATTCAATTTTGTTGAATAACCCCGAAATTTCATTCATGTTTCGCGGGTTTTTCCCAATATAAGAATTTTGTTAAAAAAAAAAATAAAAATAAACAAAGATTACTGTTGCATATTTAAAAGTCTATTTGGCACTATAAGACTCCAACACAAAGTTGCATTTTTTCTAGTTTCTTTGAAGTTGAACAACCTTTCTTATTGAGCCATGGTTTTGCCTAAGATTAGTATTCAGTTGGTACATGTAACTTGTTTTGAAAAATAAAAACAATATATTTTCAAAATCAATGATTTGAAGCATGGTAAAACTAAGAAGGTAAAGTCATGTATGTTTAAAATTTTTCCAAAAGTATACTTTCGACAACATCTCATTGCCAAAATCTATAGGTGTGTCTGGTTACCCTAAAGTTTGTAACAATTGTTACAAATTGTTACTGGAAGTCGTCTGTTAACCCAAAAGTTCTGCAAAAGAGAGCGGTTGGAGAGAGAAATTTTGACAGTTCTTTCAGTGAGAGTTTGCAAATTCTTGCTGGAAAAATTTCTTCTTGCAATCACTTGCAACTCTTCTTCTTCTCATTCATCGACATTCAATCAGATGTTTTCTATTGTTTGTTTATTTCTTTTTGTGCTTTCAATTTGAAAATATTTTTTTAGAGTTAGCAAGTCTAATAGTTTTTGGAGAACAACTTTACAAAATGTGAAAAACGTAAATGTTAATATGCAATAAGAAAATAAACGACTATTTCCAACATTTTTATTTAAAAAACTTATAAAACTTCCTTTGTTTTAATTCTCCTTATGGGGGACAAATTGGTTTGTTTTGACTAATCAGCTGATTAGTTGCAAGCTTCTGCAGGAATACCGTCTGTTTACTTTTCGCATTTTCCTTGCAAAAGAGAATAAAACTACCTTACTCTCTCAGAAAGAAGTTACTGGACAATTCCTGCTGGAAAAGTAACCAGACACACCTTATATTTATAAATCCATTGTACACACCAAAATCAGAGATGGGAACTGTTTGTTTATGCATTGAAATTTGACAAGGAAAATTACTAAAAATGCAGAACTGGGAATGCTTATTTGAAATGAGGTTACCTTTATTTCATTGTGCCCTTGGTATAAGAATATAGGTAGACGCATCGACACAGCTGCTGGGACAATGAACTGTCAAACAAATTTGGAATTGAAAATGTTGAATGAAAAATTATTTAAATTTGTAAAATTTGTTAAAAAAAAAACGTGTATTATGTATTATATCTTCCAAATGACGAAAACATATAAAAATCTACTTATATTTGAAAATAAATTTAAAATTTTTTGACATTCAATGTTCCCAAGCCTTGATGCATTTATCTGCATTCTTCTACCATGATTGAATCCATGCATGGTAGAAGAATACAAGAAGTCGCATCGATACAGCTGCTGGGACAATGAACTGTCAAACCGATTTTGGAATTGAATATGTTAATTGAAAAATTGTTGAAGAATTCATATAAAATAACCTCTAATTTGCGTCGTATAAGAAAACATTTAAAAATATACTTATTTTTGATAAAACATTTTATAAATATAAATTTTGACAATGAGATGTTGTCAAATGAATAATTTTGAAAAAAATTGTAAACATATGTTTGCATGACTTTACCTTCTTATTTCTACCATGATTTGAAGATACGTTCATTGCGGGCGTGTATTAATGAATAATTTTGAAAAAATTGTAAACATATGTTTGCATTACTTTACCTTCTTATTTCTACCATGATTTGAAGATACGTTCATTGCGGACGTGTATTAAAGATATTAACCAGTTTTGCCATGCAATCGAAAGATTGAACAGTTTGGATCATATTTTGGAAAGAATATCGCGGTATTTTGTCTTCTTCGCGCTATTTATCTCTTTTTAAAGTAACGAAAAATATGAAATAAGTGAAAATTTGTTGCATATAATTTTGAATAATTGTGACAGGAAGTGGGTATAGCTTCAGGACTGTATTTCTATATTTTTACGAAGCTGTTTTAACTCTATATTGTACCATGTGTGTATGTATTGTTTTGAATAATATATAATATAATATTAAATTTTTTCAAATTCTCTTGTTCCTCCCAAAACCTCTGATACGAATTTATTCTAGGTTTTGGGACGAACAAATGTTTCCGTTTTGGGAAAGGATTCCAATTGAACTGACTTCAGGGTTGTGTTTTCAAATTTTATTTTTATTTCTGCCATGATAGAAGAATATAGGTATATGGATCAACGCTTGAGAACATTGATATGTCAAATTTTTTAAAATCTTTTATCAAAAATAAGTATATTTTTAAATGTTTTCTTATACGACGCACATTGGTGGTTGTTATAATATGAATTTTTCAACAATTTCTACAAATGTGAATAATTTTATATTCAACATTTTCAATTCCAAAATTGGTTTGACAGTTTATTGTCCCAGTAGCTGTGTCGATTCGACTACTTGAATTCTTCTAGCATGTTTCTACACTACCTTATAATTATTATATTAAAATTCTCAGAGCGAATAAAATTTTCGATTTCCAATGGAAACATTCTATAATATACGCTTAAATACACTTTTTAATTTAGTTGGCACTGCTAATTGACCAATCAGAATAAATTGACAATGCAATTTCGTAGTTTCCATTAGTTTTGCCGTTAGCAATTCACAATGTGGCCAGTACTTTAACATTTCCATCTACAGTGCTACTCACCTATAGCAAAGCCGTCAAATTGTGTACGAGATTAATTTTTTAACGGCGACCAATAGTTTTTAACCAAACTCTGTTTTCCTAGCAATTTATTTTCATTTCGTTGGTGATGATTGTATTTTAACTGTTGTTATTTTGTTAATAATGTGAACGAGCGCAACATATTTACCGAGGAAATCTGTGAAATATGTCATTAACTATTAGAACTAAAATGAACAGATAAAAAATGTAAACAATTTCTAAAGAGATAAGTGCATTTCATCATTTATAGTGCTTCAACAAAAGAACAGAATAAAAACATAAAATAAAAGTCAAATAAAAAACAAAAGGAAACAAGAGAATTGACCAAGCAAAAACAAATGAACAGTGCCCCTTTTTGTTTTTTCTTTTAAGTTTATCTTTTTCAAACAAAGTGACAAGTAAAAATTATTGCCCTAAAAACTATAGATAAAATTGTAAAAAGTATAAAATTAGAATATTTGTGACTGTGTGGCTCTGCCTCTTGCAAGAGAATTTGCGGAAGAAAAAAACCTGAAGGGTCAATTAGTCGTGTTGTTTTCCTTTTTCATTTGCAAATTATACCATACCCCAGCCCGTTTTGTTGGCTAAATAAGTTATTGTGAGGACAGATTTAGTCATCATGGATATTTTAGACATCGATGAGGCTCTTAAAGATGATTCCTTTATGTAAGTGAACTGGCGATTGCTGTTATATGAATTAAATCTATTTTTTACATTTTTCTATTTAATTTCTTTTAGATTTCTCGAAGACAAGACTCATGATGACATTTCCAACATATTGCAACAATGGAAAAGTAACAATTACATGCCGCCTTCTAATAACACCCAAACACAGCAACAACAAGAACAAGGTAAGCTACAGCAAAACAACGACCCACAAATAAAAGTCTTTAACAGGCAGCAGCCGCAAATGCTTTGCCTTCTTAACTGTATATACAAAAATCAAATGGGTTACTGCAGCAACAGCGACCAACGTTTTCTGTGTCCGTCACACAAATCGGTCTGCAAGTGAACCGGTAACTAGTTTTCTCCATAAACGTTAAACATTCATAAATCTTTTTTTTTTCAAATTATGATAGTACTTGAAATCAATGTACTTTGTATAACTTGTTGAATGGTGGGTCACCATTAACAACTGACCATCTATGGGTATGCAAATTGTTGTTGGTCTAAGTCGCCACCGCGTATTTACTTTGTGGATAGTCGATTAGAAGGGGTTATATCAAATACCACATATGTAGGTATATATGTTTACATTGCTACTCTATCGAAGATTTATTTTTGGAAAATATTTTGGTGTAAAAGATACAATTATAAAAGTGGCGCAGTCAAGAACATGTCTTTTGTGAATTGGTACCGTCCTATGCCTTATAGAATTACATATAATTTGATGCAAAAATTGGTCATTGCATTTACATCCATCATATTGTCAAATCCTTCTTTTCCACCCATCTTGATTATACATTTCAAAATTAAAAATACGTACTATAAAAATAAAAAAAGTTAAGGAAAATCAAATAAAAGATTTGATTTACCGATCATGACAAATGAATACGCTTTTTCGCGTTTTCTCTGTTGTGTAGTCTCTTCAACCAGGATTTAGGATTCAAGGACGAACGGTACACGAATTGCCGTTTTTAATTTATCGACAAAAATGTTTTGTGTTTAATTTTTTAGTTTTTAACAATTTTAAACTTGAAAGCTTTTGAAATTTTATCTAAATTTTCGCAGTATAGCACAGTCGTTACTGCAAACAACAATAGCTGTCGATAAAATAAGCAGTTGTTAAAAGTTACAGGCATACAAGGTTGGAACTAGTACCTGTCCAACATTCTGCACATTTTATAATATTGAAAATACCAACGTCGAAATGCTGTTGAAAAAAAAAAAATATAGGTCCAAATTGATAATACCATTTTTTAATCAATCGACACTTAATATGGGTAATATAATAGAGAATTCAATCGGTTATATGCTGTAAATTTAAACTTGTCTTACAAATTCTCACTTTTACTTTAAACACATGTATGCATAACGAATCTCATTTAGGCGGGACAAACAGATGAATTGAAAGAAAAATATTGTAATATTTTTTTTGTAAAAAAGAAAGTAATGATTTCTTCTACATTTTTGTGTAGAAATATAATTTTTGAATTGGCGCACTGCGAACAGCTCACGAAGATTCCAAAGATAGTAGGGTTTGTTTATGATTGAATCGAATTATGAATTTGGGCATTTCTGTCAGAATGTGAAATATTTAATACGTCGTCAGTGACATATTGATTGAGCAGTTGTTAAGAAAAGGTAAATTCTGAAAAATTAACAATGAGTAAATTAAAAAAAAAAAAAAACAATCTTGAAGCCGAAAAGTTGACAATTTTTTTTGGGTTTACATAAGCAATACCATGCAATATTTCTTATACCCTCTACTATAGTTGTCACTTAAGTTTGTCATTCCGTTGGAATATATATTCTCGATCAGCATAAAATTCTATGTTAATTTAGCGATGCACATATGTCCGTCTGTGGAAATCACTCTAGCTTTCGATCGAAATGAAGTAGGTTGATAAAGTTTTATTTTAGATGTATTTTACATCCGTAGAACTTTTGGTATTGATTGTACAGGCAGATTTATGTTTTTTTGTTTGTTTTAGTCACAATTTGTCGAATTTTCTGTAAATTAAAAGTTGTATAGGCAAGATTTTTTTACAATCCTCACTATTCACCGGAATTTTTTCAATGTATAAATAGACCCCATATAACCGACCTTCCAATTTTCGGTATTTTGATGGACAATAGGTTGGCCAAAAAGTTCGCTACACAGATCATGTACATCACCCATATAATTGTAATATCTTTAGTCCTATTTTGTAACTTTCTAACGACACTTGATATTGTTATTTCCTTGGCATAATTACAGAAGGTAAAACAAAGCTACCCCCTAAATACAATTTTTTTGGGTGCCCTATTCTGTCAAAATTTATACACCGTCTGTATATGTGTCTGCATTGTTGTTGTCGTATTGTATAAAAAGAAAAATAATTTGAAATTATTTAAAATTTAGGGACAATATAAATGCATATTGCAGAATAAAACAATCTTGGCCTACTATCTTGGATTTCATTTTGTTGAGAAATCCCAATATTTCATTCAAGTTTTGTGGTTTTCTGCAAATATAACATTTTTGTAAAAAAATATTAATAAACAAAACCAATTGTTGCATATTTAAAAAGTCTATTTGACTAAATAAGACTCCAGTACAGAGTTACACTTTTCTAGTTTCCTTGAAGTTGAGCAACCTTTCTTATTGAGCCATGCCTTTAACGACACAAATAACAGACTTTGCTATTCTATAACAGATTTATCAACTATTGTTCTCTTTGTTATATAAACAATAGAAAAATTGTAGTTGTTAATTTGTTTATTTTACAAGATATTCATTGGTATGTTTTGTTACAATGATAAAATAAATTTTAAGCTTTCAATATATAATGAAAGCCACACACGATACAACTGGTTGTACAACTTGTGTTTCCGTCACAAACGATACAAGTTAGTGTTCAACCTCTTTGTACAACTTAAAGTTTCGTAGGGTTCATATGAGTTAAGATGACACCGGAAAAAATGCATGCTCTATAATTGACTCAATATCTTTTATTTATTATTAATTTTTTAAATTCCATTTTATAAATTGAGATTCCATTTTATATACACGTTAAAATCACACATTTGTTTGGATTTCGTATTGTTTTAATGTGCGAAACAATGGTGTTGTCTCTTCAAAAATAAACACAAAATGAAATTGTGTGCGACATGCCCACAAACGTTACAATCGGTTGGTACAACATGCCAAAATTCAAAAAATTTTGATTTTTGATACAACCGGGACACAACTTGGTACAACCGGGCCCCAAACGATACGATCTTGAATACAACCTCTCCAAGTTGTACAACCAGTTGTATCGTGTGTGGCTTGCATAAAAGTTGCAGAATAGGCCTACTGTTATTCGGAATTTTTTAATTTTGTTTTTCCAATTGAAGGAGGCCGAACCTAGCTGCCTTTTTATTTCCTCGGGTTTCAAAAGTTCAGTATATATCACTGTCACAGTTACCCAAATTTCGATGTACACCACCTTTCCCTTTTATAATATTGCATATATGTGACTCAATACAATTTATAAATTTGCATTATACATATTTTAGCAGGTAAAAATACATGTTTGCCATTGCCTAATTACTTTTTTGAATTCCGTATACAATTGTGTGTTTACTGAAGCTAATTTAATTGTATTCTTCATTTCTTTTTTTTTCATATCAAATACAATAACAAATCTGCATACATCCATGCAATAATGTTGTGGCTTTACCTATAATTAATGGTTGAATTGGATCAATGAATTGGACATGTTCGTGCAGCATATAAATTAGATTCCAGGACGTTCACGCGACCAAAACGGAAGCTGGCACAAAATCTTGAACCACAATTCGTAAGTATTACTAAATTATTTAATTTTAAGTGTGTATGTAATTGTTTTTGAGTTTTTTATATATCAATGCATTAAAACGAGTCACTTTACATTAAAACGAGCAGTTAATTAACTTCGTAAATCTCCTCGAAGACAATGAGGGAGAAAGTTTTCGCTATTAATATTCATAGTGATTTACACATCTGTTATTTACATAACAATTGTTTGGTGTGTTGGTCCACACCTTGTAAATACAGAAAACCCTGAAATCCTTTAAGTTTGTGTAATAAAAAGTATGACTAATTGTAAAAAAATAGTACTGTGGGTATATAAAAATGTGTATCGTCTATATAAACATTTCCCTGCACAAAGGATTTGTCATCATATATAGGTCGAAGAATATACGGATCTCTTAAGTATATCACTAAGTCGAAAAATCCAGAATAATTATTCGATGCCAATTGTGTCAAACATTGAAATACGCTCCCATATGCTTATCCAAAAATGACTTCTAAACTGTTCTATATTGCGCTATTAATTTTGAACAAATGTTATTAAACCGCTGTGATATAATAATGCCATCAAAGTGACAAATATGCGTTTATTTCCGCAAATCAATCGACCGTTGAAATGCTGTCTATTCAACCTTGAAGTTATTAAATCGTCGTATTCATCTCATTGGCAATTTTCGTTTGTTGCTTTGTGCTAGCAAAAGGGGTTTCCTCTCATTTATCAAGTATATGATTACTTTTATTCTGGTAAATAAAGCTAAGAGCAGCGGCAGATGGTGACGCAAATTAACACCAAAGACAAAAAGTGTATGACTCACGCACACAACTATACGTTATTTAACTAATCAAATGCTCTTTATGAGGATAGATACTGACCATAAGTGTCAAGCACGATATGTGTTTAGATTCGAATAAAGTATTATTTGTTACAAGAATATTTTATTTATATATTTATTTAGTCGCAAAGGCATTATTTATTGATGTTTCTCCAAATTAATTGTACAACTTTTTCTTCAGACAAATACCTCCCCAAGTGTTTCACAACACCAACAAATCCAACACCAACAACAACAAACTTTCAACAATTCACAACATGATAATCCAATGCTTAATCTGGAGATTGGTGGTTTGGTCACAAATATGCAAAAATCATTTTTGCATGATGTATCTCCACCCTCTTTCTCGTCGATGGATGCCTCCATAGATCGCATGAACAATTCCCTAATTACATCAGCTGATTTTTCCAACATCAACTTTTTGCAGTCCACAAACAGCTTAGATTTCGGAGGAAACGATATCAATGGTCATCATGGAGATTTTGATTTGATGGGCAAAATAACAAGTGATGGCTATACACTTAGCGACATGATACGCGATCGAAAGGCCTTAGAGTCGTTAACGATGTCAAGTGAAGGAACATTAATTAAAGACATGCATATCGGTCAAATAGACGATATTTCGCTGACGCTGAGCAAGACTGCTTCTGGTTGCAGTACCATGGACAATTCGACAGAAAGTGTTGAGGTCAATAATAGAACAGTGGAAATTCCCAACAAACACCGTACTTTTGATCACCATGGTGTAGACATAAAATCAAGCCAAAGTAGTAACACAGGCCTCGACTTAAATCGTACTATGGTTCTAACGGATGAAATGATTGGTGACATAACATACAACTTGGTGGAGAACAGCATGTATGGTAGCATGGCTTCTGAGAAGGCTCTGAACATTACACAAAGTCTAACCAAATCACAGCAGTCTGGCTCGGAATTATCCTCCAAAGTTGGGACGGGCCTCGATCAAACAATTTGTCTTTCAAACGATGGAGTGTGTGGAACAACCGTTGAAAAAACAGAAAATTCTACCTTTGATTGCCAGGAAAACATAACACCCAACAATCGCTGTGAAACTCCCGAAGGTATCGAGAAGCCCATCACGTCATTGAAGTACTACGAATCTACTCCACAAACAACGAGTGTCCGTTACAATAAGCAACATTATACACCCACACTTAAAATGGTGGTCGACGTTAATATTTCACCCATCATAGCATCATCGGCCCTACTTCCACACAATGCCACACGAGTACTGAATGACACATTTGAGCATGAGCAACGAGTAAATAAAGCTAATAACATTATAAATACGAACACCTTCTCCGGTAAGTTACCTCTGAATGCAACAGTGGAAATGATAGAAAACATAGAAAACCCGAATGGGACATATGAAAAGGACAGACGCCGTTTCGAACATCCTAGTCCAGTTTCATTAGAGATGAAAAATGTTATGGCTTTAGCTCAAGCGGAAGCCAATCTATTGGCTTCTAACAACAACGAAGAGGAGTTCGATCATATGCTAGATGAGTTCAGCAAAGTAGAACTTAATGCCGAACAGTTAAAAATGAAAAAGTCTTTGGATTCCATTAAAAAACGATTTAACTATGGACCCAACAAGGATAGGTCACATCCCCGAGAAATATCCCGTGAAGCCAAAGACATGAGGGACATGATGAGGGTTTCGGCCGATATTTTGGGTGAAGAAGATCAGTCGTCAAAGGATTACCTTAACATGACAATGGATCTGGCAGGAAAAAATGACATGAAAAAATCCAAGGACACATTTGCGGAATCTCCGCATGCCTTGAGCGAGGGCTTGGATAGCATTAAAAGTCCACTTAAGGATTCAGTGACTAGCAGTATAAGTGAATCGAAAATCTCGAATGGAGGACTCAGTATGTCTTCGGTAAGCAGCGCCAGTACGGCGGGTGAAAGGTTGTTAAGTCGGCGGAGTCGTCTTTACGATGACATTAACTTGTCGACTCTTTCACCCAGTTCCACGCATGGATCCAAAATATCATTGGGCTCATCGTTTACTGTAAATAAAGATGAGGACAATGCCATCACCACCGAAGAGAATCGTCCAAACATAACAAATGAGACTGAAAATGTGAGTTGTCAAAGTGCTCTTGAAATGGTGCAAGAAAAGACTGAAAATGCTACTGAAGAGGGCAATGCTGATGCGTCAATGTGTACTCAGACACAGGACACTACGGCAGCACAATACAAACTTGCCGAAAAACGAGAGAGAGACCGAGATCGCTTTAAAACCATTAAAATTAATAAAAATCGCAATGGTGGAGGGGCGAGTCAAACAGGATTGGAATTAAATGTGCCTTGTATTGATGATTATGATGTAGATGTTAATGCTGTTGAGAGCTGCCAACAACAATCGAATGCTCGAATTTCAAGACGAGATCAAACAGTTTCACCCGTTTTTAATAACAATAAATCGGAAATAGAAATTGTGGACGCCAATAAAACAACATCGAAAATAAATCCCAACTATCTAACCTATAAAAAGCCAAAAGACAAGCAAGCGAATGCCCGAAACTTGCCAGAAATTGCTCCCGCTTCTACAAACACATTTGCAGTAGCGCCGGATGTAACGAATAACAAGCCTCGTTCGCTCTCTCGACCGCGATATTTAAGCGGATTGACAAAATTTAGTGCCGTCAGCAAGGCAACTTCGGCCGATGAACTAGAAAAGTCAATTCCCCGCCAAACTAATTTGAATGTCACAACAAACGCAATGCCTAGTGGTTTATCGAAAGCGTCAAATTCTGCCAATAGAACAATAATTGGGGGTCAATCAAATGAACAGGCAACCGGAGAGTTGAAGAGTCCAATGGGTATAAAATCGAAATCATTTCATAATCTATCAAGCAATCATACCTCATCTTCCAATATCAGTATTGGAAGTGGTGGAGGTGTACCTGCTGCTCGAACATTTGGTCTAAGAAAGCCAAGCGCAACATCAACTGAAAAATTGGTATGTATTTCGTGAAAGTAAATTACGCTGTAACAATATTCAAAAGAAATCGTTATTTTAGGTTAAAACAAATACCAATCGGAATTCAGTCGTTTTAAATACTGTTGGTGTACAACAGTCGTTGGCTCAGCAAGTAAGTAATTTGATGTTGAAGCCCGTGAAAATCCTTTTTAAGCAAACAAAAGTGTTTATTTTTTGGTTTAATCTTCCATCCATCCCGAGTGTCAGGAATCAATCATTGATATCCTAAACACAGCGTGACTTTAGTAACATTCGATAATCTAGAAAAATAACATGATCATGTCCGGGTCGGAGATATATAAACGGCCAAAAAGCTACATTCTTGTTTTTATCCTAAACGTTAAGAATACCACAGAACAAACAAAAATATCACTACAAAATGCTCTGCTGCATGTAGCGAACTTATGGAAATATAGAAAAATAGCCATTGTTTTTAGTGGTTATGGCGTTAAAAGCCCATTAGTGATAAATCAATAAGTGATCAAACCATGATTTAAGTATCCACCATGGTTTAGCCAATACAATAAAGCTGAACGGGAACCAGGACAAGTCCGTCGCAATCAGTCAGTTAAACAACTATCTACCACTTCCATTTTAACTCCGCTTCTTTAATTTAAAATTTTAATATTATTTAATTCATTGCATACAATTGAAATTATTATTATTTTTTTAGAAAAGCGACGAAGCTGTTTTTAAAGTTCCCAAACTTGTGTCTGGCCTTCGAGCACCCGGTAGCAGCTCTAATAATGCTAGCGGAGCAACGAGTAAACGAGCTGGTTTGGTAAGACCTTCATCTGGCTACTTTAGTCTAAATGTAACCGCCAAAAGTGGAATACAATCGCATCCAGATACTGACAGTGATAATGGTCGCCATTCTCCTACTGACGTAAGAAATATATAAAGAGACTATTATATTTTAACACTATGATTTTTTGCACATTTATTTTTTTTTTTAATTTAATACAGAGCATGTCATCGGCATCATCAAGGGGTAGTGCTCAAAGTCTGAATAAACCCATAGGTATTAAAGCACCTAGTGCAATGACAAGCAACACATCAGCAATAAAGACGAGTTCCATTAGTGCTACAGCAGGACTCACAAAAATCACAGTCGGTTCTACAGGTATTCCGAAGCCATCTGGCCTAAGGCCTCCTTCGGCCATTAAACGCAGTGGGCTTCCTCGACCATCAAGTTTTGCAAAATAGGTCATCTTGAGTTGTGTAATAATTATTGATCAAATATACTATTATCAGTTGATATTATTAAATTTTGTATACTCCTAAGTTCTCAAATATACAAATATTTCATATTAAGTTTATAACAACTCATAAAAAACTAGGTATTTTTAGAGTTTTTTAACAAAAATTACTATTTTTAATTTTTTCACTCCTTTTTGATTTTCTACAATCAATCAATTCACTTTTTTGAATTAAAATTATTTTTGACGGCAGTTTTTGGTCGCATTTACAAAAAGTAATAGGTTTACTATAAAAAAGATTGTATTATAGATACTCAGCTCAATTAAGCTCACAGAATCTATCATCAACAAAAAGTATTGTTTCGAAAATGTTATTTGACTAAAGTACACACAAATGTTGTTACTAGTTCCTGCCTTTGTAAAATTCAGGAATACGAAGATGTTATTATGAATATAATTTGCCGCTCATTGAAATGAAAATAAAGTAACGAGATGGTATATTACAGTTCTTTAGAATACATAGATTATTACAAAAGAATAGCGGAGTGCAGTACGTGCATACACACATGTATTCCATGTTCCATAAATCCTATATTTTTTATTCGAATACAAAACCACCCTATCCAATAAAACAGTTCAAAATTGGTTTGGAATAAGTTAATCTTAATAAGTGCCAATTATAATTTCACTGCTTTTTCATAAAAAAGTTCAGAGTAAGCTGATTAGTGAATAAACATGTTTAGATCTACAACTGCTTACTCTTGATAAAAAAATAAAAACAAAAATACAATTTCGCCCCTTGGAAAATACGATAAGTTTTTCCCTTTTACGCATATCCCATGATTTAGTTTATGAGTTGAAATTTTATTTCAACAATCATTAATGATAAGCACTAAAAATTAAATTACTATACTACTAATTATATAACATAATTCACACCTGAGGTCTCCCTCCCTTTGTATCATCTATATTATTTAAATCATATATAACATGCCTGCTTTGAATCTACGGAAATATATCACGTAATAAGTTACTAAATATGTTGCTTTTCATATCCCAAAAATAAATAGCAAATACACTTACGTACTATTATTATTATTATTGGCTTGTTACACAAATGCACTTAAAAATATACTTTAGATTTTGAATGTTTTAACTAAATAATTATTAACCCTCATACATTGAATAAAGTTTAATTTTATATTTTAAGTTTTTATTCATACTAAAAATGCTGAAAAGCGTTTTATATTAAAATTGAATAAAATGTATAATACAAAACGTTTGTTGTATTCATTTTTTGAAAGAAAAATTTCTGCAATGGGGAAGTATATAGTATATATAGTATAGTCCTGCGTAAATACAGGGTGAGATGAAAACACTGCTACCAATTTCAGACTGCTATCATTTCTAAGCCACTCGTCAGGCAGCTGTTAAAATTATTCCAGTGACAGCTCATTATATTGTTTACAAGCGTACAAAAGCATTTTGGTGAGAATTTTCCAGAAAAAGTTATTCATGGTGGAATTTAAGCGTGATAGTGTGATTTCTTTATATTTGGATGGAAAACCACAAGTGGCTATCGTTAGAGCACTCCAGCATTTAAATGTTAATTAATGTTTTGTGTCTCGTACCATCGCTCGTTACCGTGATACTGGTAGCGTAGCCCGAGTTCATGGAAGTGGACGGAAGAAAACAGTAATATCGGCAGAAATGGTTCGAAAAGTAAAGGAGCGATTTGATCGAAGCCCGCGTCGCAGTGGCTGAAAAATGGTTCGTGAGCTGAACATATCGGAATATTCGATACGGCAAATATTGAAAAATGAGCTCGATTACCCCGAGCCATTGAAATTCCAAAAAGTGCAAGAACTTACACCGCAACAGAAAGACATTCCAACAGGACTCAGTACCATCGAACTCAGCACGCGCCATCCAAGAATGGTTACAAAATTAGGTTCCTCGCTTCATTTCCAGTGCATAATGGCCACCAAAATATCCAGATACCAATCCGTTCGACTATTGTGTCTGGAGTATTTTGGAAAGCAAGGTTGGCACTAAAAAATATCAAATTGTTGATCACCTCAAGCAAGCGCTTCGCCGGGAATGGGCCGTATGAAGGCCATAATTCGTGCCAAAGTTGACCAATTCGAACAAATCTAAAATTATTCTAAAATTTCATGCTATTTTCGACAGTTTTTGCTTTCATTTGTTGTTTGGTTTCCCAAAGGATATCCATTTTGAAGCTGGAATCCAAATTAATAACTTGGCATTTTAAGTTCTTAAAATGACTCCTAAAAATCCGATTTTTTAAAAAAAACGGTTAACTATTTGATATTGCTCCATGTAGCCTCTTGAATTTCGGCGTTTTACTATTTTTTTCCAATTTTCAATTGAATAGATTTTTATTCAGCTTTTGGTGTTCTCATTGAATGGAAATGCGGGTTTTAAAACGTGTTTCAATACATAAACATTATGTGTTATATAACTGTGCGGGCCAGTTTTATTAGTTTAAATTCCTCACCTGAATTTTCTCTATCGTGTCCATGTCACAACCAGGGCTGCCATTTTTGCCGGCATATCGGCATTTTGGTGATTTTTCACTCTAAAAATGTAAAAACCCGATTTTCCGATTTTTACCTCAAAAATGACGATATTTTAACGATCGACACAAATTGTCTCCCATTTTAATTAAATACCTAATTAAACGTTGCTAAATTCATTTTAGAACATCTAATGGAAATATATATATAGTATATTCTCAATACAAATAATCAAATGGAGTTTCGTTTCAGAAGCGTTTTAAGTAATTCCATAACAACTGACCCTATATACACAAAAATGTTTTATAATATGATTTTGTATATAATTAAGTTTATATGCAAAATATATTATTTCATAAACAAAACTTCACTTCAAAATTAGTGCTCGAATTTTACATAGAACTTGCAACTCAAATGTTGGAACTCTTTAATTTTAATTTAATATATTTTTAATGTTTAAGGCATTTTGATACTGGAAGAGTAATGAGGAGAGAAATAATTCTTTGTTAGGTATTTCTAAAAATTTCCACACTTTAAATTTAGACCCCGAGCTTAGGGAGTTAACATTTTTAAGTTTTGAAATAAAACCTGGGGATTCCATTTTGGCTTTTGCAATTTTGTCTAAATTCGTACATGAATTGAAATTAGAAACTTACTTGAGAATGATTAATTGGAAACACGTACTATTTGTTACGTAATTAGATTTTAGTAGAAAAAATAACCACAGACAAAGAGAAACTGAAAAAATTACTCGTTTCGGAAAACACGAATCTTTTTTAGACTCCTACCACAAAGGGATTATTCTTCAATGACCTTAAAAATACATTGTGTTATACGTAAATCTTAAAGATCTCACCAAAGATAGAGTTTTTATATTTAAATAAAAATGTACACAATAATAAGAATTGATAACTTTTTTTTAGAAAAATCTACATAGTTGTATAAATTTTTATACCCTACACCACATGGTGGTCAGGGTATTATGTCTTTGTGCATTTGTTTGTAACAGGCAAAAGGAAACGAGATAGACCCAAAGTTCCTTCTGATGATCTGCATAGAATCACATTCTGAGTCGATTTATGCATGTCCGTCCGTCCGCCTGTCTGTCCGTCCGTCCGTCTGTCCATGTATTTTTGTAAACAAAGTACAGTTCGCATTTATTGTCCTATCCAGATGAAATTTTGCACAAATCATTTGTTTGGCCCAAGGACGAACCCTATTGAAATTGGAGATAATCGGTCAAAATTTAGATATAGCTCCCATATATATCTTCGTCCGATTTGCCTTTTATTGTCCACCAAACGTGTAATATCAGTCCGAATAGTATAGAATTTTGCACGTACAATCAGATTGGACCTGAAAATAAGTATGCCAAATTTGATCGAAATCGGTTCAGATATAGCTATAGCTCCCTTATATATTGTTCATCCGATTTGTTATTTTTGTCCTCCGCAGCCGTAATATGCACTCTGTAACAACAATATTTGGGGAAATATATCAAATACAGCTCAGAAATACCTTTGCTAAATTTTATCGAGATCGGTTCAGATTTGGATATAGCTCCCATGTATAACTTCGTCCGACTTGCCTTTGATTGTGCACCAAACGTCTAATATTTGACCAAATTGGATGAAATTTGGCACTAACACCGAATTGAGTCTAGAAGCTAGTATGTCAAATTTGGTGAAAATCGGTTCAGATATAGCTATAGCTCCCATATATACTGTTCATCCGATTTGTCATATTTGTTACCCACAGTCGTAATATGCACTCTGTAACAACAATATTTGGGGAAATATATCAAATACAGCTCAGAAATGTCTTTGCCAAATTTTATCGAGATCGGATCAGATTTGGATGTAGCTCCCATATATATCTTTATCTGACTTCAAAGTAATTTTGCATCAAATGGGCAATACTAGTCCGAATTTAAAAGATACATATGTTTCGGCATATTTAGTCCTTTGAACTTTAAATTATAATTATAATCATAGCGTGTATGATTGAATTCTCCCATAAAAACTTTTAATTGTTATGCGCAGCTCTACTAAATTAGCAACGTGGTGTAGGGTATCATAAAGTCGGCCCCGCCCGTCTTTTAGACTTTCTTTACTGGTTTTTTTATGTTTTTATTTGAAAGTTTATTTTTTATACAAAACTGAATATTTATTAAAATGCTTAGTTGTGCATTTTCACTTTCCTTTATTTTGTTATAAACCAAAAAATATGTGTTGATTTAATAATTTGTACGTTGCCGATTTTATGACGATTTTTAAAAACGCAAATGCCGATTATGCCGATTTTTTTTTCTGAAAAATTTACGATTTTTCTTAAAATTTTATTGGCAGCCCTAGTCCCTGATCCGCCCGATTTGGGCTAATATTACATATTTGGTGGATCTAAATTTTCAATGTTATAAACTACAAATACCACTTTTTAGACAAATCCGTGGAAAATGTGGCAAAAATCATCAAAATACTGAATATCAGGAGGTTCTGTTATATGGGGGGGAGGGGGGGGGGGGGGGCTAAATATACAATGTTTCGCCACCGGAGCTAGAACCCATTATGACCAACAAATATCAATTTTGAGAGAAATCCATGAAAAAAAGTGGCAAAAATCATCAAAATACCGACTATGGGGAGGTACTGTTATATGGGGGCCTATACAAAACGTGGACATAAACATACAATGTTTCACCACCGGAGCTAGAACCTATTATGACCAACAAATAATATTTTTTAGACAAATCTGTGGAAAAATGTGGCAAAAATACCGAATATCGTAAGGTAAAATTATGAGGCGGCTATACGAAAACGTGGACCAATACATACTATGTACTGCCACAGTTGCTAGAACCCATTACGAACTACAAATACCAATTTTTTAACAAATCCATGGAAAAATGTGGCAATAATAATCAAAACGCCGACTACCGGGAGAGAAATCCA